TGTGTTAAGGGGTGTCAGCGGGGCGGATCTCACATCCGCCAGTAATATTCTGTGGTTGTTTTTCCGGTGTGCGCCGAGCGTTGCCGGAGGAGGAAAAGGGCCAGGTTAGTAGTAAGGTAAGTAGCCGACATGGGCCAACGCTAAGAGGCACACTGGTGTTTGTGGTGTTAGTTGGTGGTCCATAGTCCCATGGGTCAACTTTCACTATTCCCTTTTTTGTTAAAGGCCGCGGTCATTGAGAAAAAAGTAGTCTATCTACGTAACTGTCTAGCCCAGCATCGATTATGATGTAATTGCTGGCTTGGATCCATTTTCCTCGCCAATGGATTGCATTCGGGGTCTGTGCATTTCTTTCTCGTCCGTTGAGGATTCACAGTTTCGTCCCTACTTTTGTACAAGGTTCCATGTGGTGATCTTCAGTTACTGTGTACTATTCCGGGATGTAGGTGGCAAATCTCGGATTATGCTCGGGTATCTTACGGAGATACGATAAGACAATCTGTTCCAGATATTATAACCTCTCTATTGCACGGGTCTGTCGTATATCCAACCTAGTGCTTTTGATGTAACATGAATAGCAGCTTCAAACCCGTCCATCTTTATGGGCTTGAAGTATAGGCAGGCCTGCACCCATCATACCCCACACGAAATAAACCAAGATCATTCTGTGCTGCGTAGACGCTGAAAGCGCGTGAGAGAATTGGTAGCGCTCGGATCATAACAGTAGGAGCCAGCACACAGCCCATCCGAAAACGAAAACACTCAGGCGATTCAAGAGTGGGGAAAATAGCGAACCCTTCCCAGTATGCCGGTGTGAATAAGAGAAATAGAAACGCAATCGCAGCAGCGAAGTAATTCCGGCAAGAATGGACAGGGTATCTAATCGTGTTCCTCGTACCTCAACCAGATTCTCGAAATTACAAACCAGTTAATATCATCAAGAAAAATCAAACATTGCCGGGGCCGTGTATCCCCAAACCCAGACGACGGTGCCGACGAGGAAAAATTTAGGATATCGTCAATGATATAACACATAAAGAAAAAAAAAAAAAAAAAAAGGCAACAAAATAAGCACGTATATGGCGACAGGGTATCATTGCTCGGGAACTCGTGTATTATTCCCTATCCAACGAACGCCCCGTAGATTGATGCAAGCAATCCCCAAACTCCGAATATAAGGCATGCGCTTGTGTAATGTATGCGACCAAGCGTCCCTCATGCCACGCACCAGGCGCCGAAAAGACTGAAAAGACTGAAATCCGAACCGAAAGAAAGAAGCCCTCTGTTGAAGGTTGAGACAGAAGGATCAGACGAAGTGAAGTTCAAGAGTGACAAAGGACGAAAAGAATGTCGTGATATGCCGGGAGGCAGGATTAGTAGCTCAATTTGACCTCAACGGCTGAACTGAGGTTTCCCGATCCCGTAGCTGCTGCGGTCTCGATTGACGATGCCTCGGAGATCTCGACAACCATGTCTTGGCCGTCTGGAAGCTCACGAACAACATCATCGTCCACCATTATTTTTAGGCCGTTTTGTTTGACGTGGAGGACTCGCACAATGCGCTGGGGGTCGATGCGCTGCTTCATGGAAATCTTTTCCATCAAGTCGCGAACCGTTCGTTCAGTCAGATAGACGGCCCGGTAATAGTCATCCGAACGCTGATCGTTGCGTGGGAACCGTACGTAGAAGCACGCGACTAGGGCTAGGTCAGTTCGAGTATCTTTCGAGGGTTACAGACTTTACTTACTTGGCTTAACTGGACGCTCCGCGGGTGGTCGGTAAGTTGGGTCAATATCCACCGCGTCTATGAATCCCATTGGCGCGCCACCGTCAGTTGAAGCCACTTTCGGTACTTTGACAGGATGCTTTAGTGTGGCCTTGTCGCCCAGGACTTCAGAGCACGGGCGCGAGTTCTCTCGAGACGTGCTCAAGGATCCATGGTACGCTGAGTCATAGAAAATGTTGGACTGGAGGTTGGTCGGGTGGCATGGTGAGTTTATTGAGATGCTACTGCTGGTGGGCGAGACGGCATGCAGGGATGCACCATCAATACTGAAGCGGGATCCACGGCTGTTTTCCCGCTTGAGGAATTCTCGCGACTCGGGGAGCATGACTGGGAACAAGTCCGGGTCGTCCTGCTCCTCACCCCGCAATCCCAGAATGCTTACCGGTCGTGTTGACGTGAACATGTCTTGCATCAACGCGAGCTTCGCATGGAGATCGTCCTCCAAGGACATCTTGCCAGGGCCGTCCTGCGAGCCCATGGACCATGTCCGTTTGTGCTTGGTGATCTTGGCCGGGCGCGGATCGGCACCCTTGAGAGCAATGGAGCCATTGCTACGCTTGCGCTTTCCGTAGTTGCCCGCACCCATCTCGGCTTGGGCGATCTGTTGTCGGAGTTTCTCGATGGTCTTCTTGACATGAGCGACATCGTTGGACAGTTTCCGCTCAGCACCATGATCGCGGAAAAGCTTGACCTTGCAGTAGCACACCTCCGATTCTTTGCCCGAGGTGGAGCTCGTATCGTCAGGGGAGACCATCTCTGTCTTTGCGCACAATCTGACCGGAATACCCTTCACACCCTTGGAATGGCTAAAGTCCGTCGACAAGAAGTTGAATCGGACAGGAATCGAGCATTCCGAAACTCCAGTTGACGGGTTGAGTGTCCACGTGACGCAAAAACCATCGAACGACGAGCTCTCGAGCTGAATCTGCCGGTTCTTCGTGTCTTCGATGCCGCCTTGTATGGGATCGACATATTCCACTGCTTGGAGCTTGCCGCCTCGTTGATGCGCTTCATTGGAACCGCGACCTTCCTTCCATAATTGCCAACAAGCAGCCGGCTTTGCCCTCTGCTCATCTTCTTGGAATGACACACGGATGAAGGTACGATATTTGATCGGTTGCGTAGTCATGGGCGGCGGAGTAGAATCAATCACAGATACTGAGTACGCCTGGCCTTTATTGAGATAGGTAACTGGGATTTCGGCTTGGTGGTTAATCATGGCTGTGGGAGCGCGCAAAGTGACATGATAGCGAAACCTGCAGCGTCCAGCACAGTTAATAAAAGAACAGACATGATGAGGGAAGGGTTGAGCGCTCACGTTTCACCTGGGTTCTGGATGCTCGCTTGATCGTCCTGGATTGTTGATGTAACATAATGGGAAGACGCATTACCCTGCATGTCCACATCATTTAGAGAGAGTTCTTCAACAGAATCGTCCATGGCATCGTAACCTGCATCGCTCTGAACGAAAGCACCGGGCGCAAAGGCTGGCTGCTGAGCAAAGGGTTGGGGGTTGTGAAAGTGTGGCGGGATGTACTGCTGGTCGAAATGATCGAGGCCCAAAGCCGCAGTGCCGGGGTTGATGGTGGCCGCGGAGATCTGCTGCGGGAGGGATAGCGGAGTAATCATGCTCATACCCATGCCAGGGGTATGCAAATCTCCTGCTTGGCTGTGGTATACTGCGCCCAGCCCACCTGAGTTGGGAGTATAGTAGCCATGTGGTTGCAGTGGGTTTACATAAGAGACAGCATTCGGATCGACAAAAGGCGCTGCGAACCGCATATCTTCTGTGGCGCGGGGTGTAGGGTCATTGAGCTTCAGGTCGTTATTCATACTTAGTCTGGCGCAGAATTATCATGTTAGCTCTCGCCCAAAGATATTTTCCGAGCTTCAAATCAACCCAAACAAGGATGAGAAAAGAAACGACAAAGACAGAAAATGGAAGGCATATTTACCTAGCTGGAGTGATAGGTCCGATGGGCATCTGACCGAAGCGCGTGGCATTGCGGTGAGTGACTGGGGGAACAACGTCTGAGAAAGTTTTTTGGAATCTCTGGATGAGCTCGTCGTCTGGCTTCTGGGAATTCTTTCTGCAAGGGTGGTAGTCCGGTCAGCATGAGAATGGCCGGCGACCCGTCGGTAAAGCGCCGCATCGGTATCCAGTATAGCAACGTACCTGTTGCGGAACATCATCGACGCGGTCGGAGGTAATTAAATACTTATTCCGATCTGAAGTTCGCCCGGGCGCTTAATGATTTATGGAGAGACGTGGAATCCAGGAGGAAACAAGAAGGCGTTGGAGGCTGAAGGTGGCATTCGGATCGCCAAGCGCTATTCGATCCGGGCCTCGAAGTTATTCGGAGAGGAAAGGGAAGGGCGGTGGTTGTATGTATGTATACGTTCCCCGAGCCGTTTTTATTTAGGAGTGTGGGAAGAAACACTGGTATTTCTGGACTGCGGTGAAAACGGCTCAAGTGTCACATCCCAATCACCGTCTATCGGGGGAAGAGAAGCGATCGCAGGGATTGCGACCACAAAGTGGGCGACTTGGAGATGATATCGAGGATCGTGAGGAGCGGAGACAAAGAGAGGAGGGGGTGGGAATAAGTTGGGGAAGAGGTCCGAGTGGTGTTCGAAGACGAGAGTGGATTTTGGCAGGTATTGGGTTTATAGCGGATGCGCCCCTTACTCAAAGATCATATGAGAGGCGGCGGTGGGAGAATGAGGACGACTGCAGAGGGAGAGGGAAAGAGAAGGAGAAAAACGACAGAGAGGGAGAAGAGGAAGAGGAGGAGAGGAGGAGAGGAGGAGAGGAAGCGACAGGCAAGAAAGAAGATACGTATGCCGTATAAAAATGTACAGGAATAGCGGGGAGACGATAAAAGGGTAGGAAAAAAGAAAAAGAAAGAGGAAGGGGAAGTAGTACTTGAGGGCCCAAAGGAGGGGAGGAGAGAGGAAAGAGGAAGGTGATGATGAATGTTGGGGGAGTCTGCTGGAACTAGACGGTAAGACAAGCCCCCAATAATAGTTCGGATGTAGGGTGGATATGGACGCTGAGAGGATGAAGCCGAGTACCTCTGAGAGCACTGAGAAGGGAGCAAAGCAGTCCTAAAAGATTCAGAAAGAGATTTCCTTTTTCTTTTCTTTTCTGGGATCGGAGGATTTGTGGAAAGAATGTGATAGTTATTAATAAAAGAAGAGAAAAAGGGACCACATGGGAGGCGTGGTGACGTGCAATAATAACGGTTGGTTGAGTGATAAAAAAGCGCAAATGAGGTAGGTATGAAGGAAACCTTCCAGAAACTCTTCTGTCCCTTTCTGTGCTTTCTCTTTCTTTCTCTGTCGCGTCCTGCTATTCTTTTCCTCTATTTAATCCACTTTTCTCTTTTTTTTTCTTTCCTGATTTCTGATTTCATTTTCCCTAAATTCATTTTTTTTTCTCAGAAATATACTTTTTTCGGAAAAGTAGATTAATCTCTGGGTCAGTCTCCGAGATGATTTTCTGGGTCGGACTCAACCAGAAGAGACCCAGGATCAGTGGGGAGGGTGTGAGGGGTGGTGTGGATCCGGTAAGTAGTAATATTCCGTCGTATTACATTGGTATAATACCTTTCCCATATACAGCTGTACTTTACGGTTTCTGTATTATACCATCAACAACAACAACTACACCTGAACTACTTACTAGTTGTTATAACCACTACTAGATAGATAGATAGCGAGCTAGCATAGATAGGACTGCCAAACATCTCTGCCACATTTCAATGAATCCCCCGACAGTCATGATAACCTGTTCCTCGACATTCCAGACGTTCGGATCATCATATCTCCTATGCTCGGTTATCCTGCCTTGTTGAACCGGTGCATATAGGATGCAGTGTGGGCTCTTGGTGGTGTAGTAGGCCCCAGAGCAATAATACATAATAGGTATAGAAAGCCACCTGTACCTATCACTAACCCCGAAGCGACCACGATACGGCATCAATCCATACAATGAAGTGGGTTCGAGCCGATTTCCGATTTTCCAATGAACAGGCACCTTTTGTAAATCCGGGTCCTACGTCATCCTACCCAAGAAACAGAACACAGTAACAGCAGTGCACTGACAGCCCCATGATAATGCAGAGAGAAAAGTCATTGACTTGCCGTTGCGCACAGCCCTACACAGTACCTGGGACATTTCACGGGCGGTACCTTAGCAGCCAACGATCAGCCACAAATCTGTAAGCCCATCCCAAGCCAGTGGTAACTCAGGTATCCTTACCGATGTGGTAGTAGTGGGTGGTTCTTTTGAGTTGGACGTGCGTGTAAAAGTACATACCTTCTCTGGCTACTCAGTTAGGTTACTTAGTTACCTATATCCCCTTTCAGTATCTATGGCGCGGCTCTGAACCGCGGTCATAACGCACAGCGTACCGAATATTTCCTTCAACGACTATGACACTTGCTAATACACTTTGCCGACAAACATACACCCTATTCTCGTCAGGGAGGTAAAGGAAACGGGAAAGAATTGGGACATTCCCGAGGCTGGTAATGGAGGACAACAACAACAACACTGATCCCGGTTTTGGAGAGAGGGTCGTCTCCTTCCCCTCCTTCCTGTACATACGCGAGGGAGCTGCTGGTGCTACTGTTTCTGCTACTGTGCTCACTCACGCCCAGCCTCGCGAGTATCCGGTCGCGGAACTAACGTCAAGAAGAGGTATCTAGAAACATCTTTTGGTTTTTCCTCCTTCCGACCCCAATTTGTCCACTTAAGTGGATCCACCAAATTGACATTTAATTTCACAGAAAAGAAAAAAAAGCGGACTATTGCCGAAGTAGGCATCCGGCCAGACCACCTCAGCCTATTGATCTGCAAGCGTTATCACATGGCACCAGTGTCATTATATGATTGACGGTGTCCGCATCCTGGGTAGGTAGTAGCGCTCCTCCCAACGGCCTATCTATCTATTCTGACAACGCATCTCTACTCAAATCAAATTATACGGTCTGCAATTGGTCTCGCATTATTTCATACCGACATGGGGCAACGAGGTCAGAAAAGAAAAGGGATGATGAGGGGGCAGATCAGATGGATCACACACACATACAGCTGCGGGCAGCTGGGATCCAGGCTGACTGACTGACCTTGGGAGAGTGGAGGACGCATCTACATGGAGAAGTGGGAGCGAGTGGGTAAAATAACTACCAATGCGTGCTTGGAAGTGAAACATCCCGAACTTCCCTAAGCGACAGTTATGGAGTCGAAATGGAGTCGGAAGCTGGGCCGGGAGCTTATTCTGTCGTGCACGGGGTCTTACTGGGGAGCATCGAACCATGAAGCGCCCACTAACCATGGATATGGACTATTATGACACAAACCTGCGCCAAGCACAGACGCACAAGGTTTGGTTTCACACTGCTTGATGCTGCAGGTCAACAGAAGAAAGTAAAACTAACTCCTGGACAGACTTACGTCTCAAAAAAATCTCATTATCCTCACCGACCAGAGATATCGGACTCTACACTTTGTTGCGAGCTTCGACGGCTGATACTGTATTATACTGCGTACAGGGATTGTATGAGAAATGTAAAGGGATGTAGGGCTAGACCGATGCCGATTGCTTGGGATGATGTCCCGCCAATCAGAAGCATGGCATGTCGGACCCCGGGTCACATCGGACGGAGTTCCTCAGAACCTTATTACCTAAACAGCCGTGTCGTTGGCCTGGGGCATGCGAAAGTGACACTCCCGTAATTACCTTAGTCAGCGACACACGGTACTCAGCCAATACTCACTAGGGATTGGGGAGACACCTGAAGTGAAAGAAGGCAGAAAAGACACTAAGGCACCGACCAAACAGATCCCGTCCATGAACGCAGTCTCCTAATCTACATGCCCATGATCAGACGAAAACACCAAAACATAGAGATCTGTTTCCTCTTTCGAAGACAAGAAGCACCGGTTACGTCATGTGTCTCAGGGGTACCGGGGTGAGAGAGAGGAGGGGGGCGCTGACAGTTCATGCCTGCCATCTGGAGGAATTTCAGAGCTGACGATTGCTATAGTACCCTAGTTACCTGGAGTGGAAATGATAGGTTCAATTTAAACAAAGTGTCGCGCGATAGAATTCATGACAACGCTCCCTCTGATTTGTTGGACGACTGCTCCGGGTAAAGGGGGGGGATAAAAGACCCGCCACTAATGCACCAATTGCTGGCGGTTTCACGCAGACGGGCAGTCCCCGGATTACATCATAGCATTCAGGAGTTCCTTTTTCTATTATTTCTTTTTTCTTAATTTGCTGCTTACAGTGTAACTAGCACAATCCCTTATTTAGCTATTTTTTTTCGGTTTCTCCACCAGCATGCGCAGGTGCATTGCGCATTGCGCATTGCCGCATCTCTGCTTTGAAAATCTTTTGGGGTGGTACTTAGTGCTTTCGCCTAACGTCATGGACGGGATCGGTCTAGACGCAGCACACAGCAACAGAAACAGCATCAATACTTACACAGTAGATGAGATGCTAAACTAATTGCAGAAGAGATGCGTGCAATGCAAAATGCAATGCGATGCATTCTCTTTCCGATGATAAAAGTGTTTAGTCAATCCTGCTAATGACTCAAGTCGGTGTAGACGGCATGCATAAGATGACAAGTAGTAATTAATCCTTTACTTTCGACCAGTCGTGATCAAGAGATCTTCAATGAGGTGTATATTGTGGCTGCTTTAGTATGTTTTGGAGTCAGTCCTTTCTTATCGCGGGGAGGGATGCGGTCCCATTCTCACCTTCCGCCCCCTGTCATGTTGTTGCTTATCTGTCTGCCCACTCCTGACATACAATAATGATTCGATAGACTCTGTCAGGAGACTCTATCGTGTCGTATAGAGAAACAGGTTTAGACTTGCGGATTCGCGCTCGAAGCGAGCTCTCTCAATACCGGAGTGGAAGTTAATTGCGGCAATCAGCAACATCAAATATATATATTCATCCCCAGATACCAAACCTCGTATGATCACTGCCATAGCAGTCCATGGTAGTATGACAGGAATACACGAAAAACCAGATAGAACAACATTCTCGTGGATAGATCGACACGAAAACCACCTCGAAACATCACGAATAACCTACTACAAAATAGAGAAAGGAAGCTGAAGAACTGCAAGCAGCAAGGCACACTCAACCCGTCTCTCTCTCTAAGTTCATACTTACTTATGGTGTACTACTTGAAGAAGCAATCTTATTCGCGGAAGCTTCTTGCGCGGCTAATACCCTTCGAGTCACATAAGTCATGTCGTGCTGCATGACAACATACATGCTTGCTTACATCAACTACTAGATAACTGGAGACTGTGTGTGTCCTGTCCTATGGGACGGAACCCATAACAAGGAAAAATATAGCCCGCATTCGGTATGTTTGTCGCACTTTATTCCTAAATCATGACACTTCTGTGATAGAAGGAATAAGAGGAACCATGTACATACATGACAGATAATAAAGGGGTGACAGATCCATAGCAGCATACCTTAGAAAGACAAAAACCCGAGGTGTAGACGTCAAAAGCAATTCATTATTCGTGGATAGTATTCCGCAGGCAACAGATTGTTGGGCAAGTCTCAATTGCCCGAGAGAATCGAATAACAATCAATCATTGAAGAAAGAAACAGCGAGAAAAAAAAAAAACACGAAAGGGAGAACAGTTACACAACCAACCCACTAACGCATCCTCTTTGAACTCCGCTCTACAATGACCCAAGAATCCACCATCCCAAGATCCATCCCTCTCATCCAGTGGGTTCTTAATCCGGAAATCTGGAACAACCTACCCGCTCCGCCAAATCCAGTCAAGAAAGACAAACAAAATAAACGGCAGGGATGGACAGCCCGACGGACGGGCCATAGGTGTGGATGCAAGTGGTTCGTTCGCAACCGCAGTCAAGATTTCTTAGCTGAGGAACAAACCGCATATAATCTCCGGGGCGAGAAAGCCATTATTACTGGGCCGGTGGCGATGAGGCGGGTGGCCCCTCCTCTCGTCCCTCCCCTCTTCAGTCGGGGGTCGGGTATATTGGTGGTTTAGTATTGGGGTCAGTGGGTATCATGGTATAGTTGTATGATATTATGTACTGGCGATGTATATACGATGGTATGTGCTTTACAGGAGTTTACAGTGTGGGTTATGTTTTTTCATTTAGTGTGTTGTTTGTGTTTTGTAGAGCGGGATACGATAACCCAGTCATGACCAATTACTACTTACTACTTTCAACGGCACTCTCTATACTACTAAGCGGATGAAGAATAAACTTCAGCTGATTGATGAATGTAACCACAAAAAGTAATCAATGAGATAACTCACAGACCACAGCCAAGTAAGTACTTTTGTAATTCACAACGGAAGTCGTCAAGTCAGTAGGACGGAATAACGTAAACTTCAACCAGTCATTTCATTCAATCAACTCATCCAACGACAACAAGAAAAATACAATTACTTTTTGAATTCAACCGGCATCACCTCCTTCGGCAATGAACTCATCAAAGATGAGGCGAACGAGCGATGGCATGCACGACATGGATTTCCCCAGTCAGTTCATATTAACTAACCACCCCCGCGGAGAGTAAAATCAGCCAACTAGGACAATGAAGTAAGCCACTATGGCAGTGCAACCTAAACTGCTGCCACTCTTAGCTCTATGAATTAATATCCTATGAATCTTAAGAGAATGCGTGAGGCTGTGTGATCCATGGTTCCGATCGAATCAGAAGAGGTCACGCAATCCCGCTCTCTGCCGTCTGACACGGCAGAGAGGATATGATGGAGGGGGGGAGGAGGAAGAGGAAGAGGGAGGGTGCAGGGATGTTTAGGAGTGTATCTGCCGGGCGTGGTGGCAAATATACTAGTATCAGTTGAGAGGCCGCGGATGTGGAACTTAGTTATGTCTGTCTTCCCGTCTGTCTGTCTGTCGGTTCGAACGGAAGCGGGATCGATCTACCGTTGTCATTTGGGATCAGATTCATTCGATCGATGCAATGCGATGCGATGACTCTATCATTACGTGTTTTAGAGAAAGGATCAGAGATCATTCTTTACTATCTCATTGACTAGCGTAGTGTCAAAACTACGGAGGACTCCGTGCCCCGTGCTCAGAAGGTCGAAGAGTAAGCAAGTGAGACATTTTGCTGAATGCGGGTATGTAGATTCGGGATTCGGGATATGCTTAAAAAGTACCGACTGACTCCCTTTCATTCTTTTTGCCTCCGTGGTAATTAAGTGAGGTATGGCGTGCGCTTGGCGACCGGTATGTGTGTGTGTGTGTGTGTGTGTGTGTGTGTGTGGATGATCATCTCGATACTTACTCATAAGATAAGTGGGTGGAGTGACAGGCGGACAGATACTTCATGTAAGTAAGTAGACGAATGGGGAGATCTACTACCTACTTGGTGACCTACATGATAGCTGAGTAGTCTATGGGTAAGGGAAAAAGAGAAAGGACCCTATTACTTACTTACTGAGCAAATCAAATAGGGTTCTATTGTTATGCTCGCCATACCATACTTACTTACAGCGTGTAAGTAAGAGAGCAGTATTTCATGGCTTAGTGGCTGCATACAACTGGCTATACCTAGGGCAGAGGAAGAACCAGAAGATCAAAACCAAACGAAAGAGGAAATACACACCTTACCATATGAGTAGGTCCAATTGAATTTCATCCCATCCCAAGGAACTATTGTTCCATGGTTCTCAGGAAAACTTGGTTCCATGAAACAAATTCTCCGGTCAGGTAGCAATACATACATTACATGTGACTGAATTGATATTCATCCGTTTCAGGCAATAGCCTACTCCGGACTATGTGAACTACTCTGCTCGGGGCAATATAGATGAATAGATTTGCAGATGGGCAGTAAAGCACATAGGAAATAAGACAGAAAAGGAAGATCTACTTTAATTTACCACGCGCCTTCTAATACTCCCCAGCACACAGCAAAGAATCGATTGATCGATGAAGATGACCCGAAATAATCCCATTGTGGCGTAGATAGTGACAGGACTAGTTAGTGCACTTGGCTTTATTGATCCGTAAGTAAGTAGTAATCTTCTTCTGCTGCCTTTTACAAATCTTGACTGCTGCGTTTCCATTTCCCCTTGCGTGGAATCAATGTGGAATGTTCGAACAGTCGCTCACTTGCTTTGCTGCCATGCTGATGCCCAATGAATCAATTGTTCGGTGCCTGATATTGATGATTGTTTTCCTGATTCGCATTCTTCCTAAAATATGGTGCATGCATACCATACCTACTGAGTATACTATACTCATGAATACTGGTCCTTTTGATACGAACGTAACCGAATTGCTTAGTTTTTGGTCACCTGAGGGGAAGGGACCTGGTAATTACCGGTAGTACGATGTAATTAACACACAGGGTATGTTACTGCTATCTTGTAACTATAGGTAGGTCTATCTTAGATATAGGGGATAAGATAAGTAAGTAGTAATAATAGACAGACTTAACACCTCTATCAAGATACTCCGTACTCCGTTTCACTCACATCAACTGCTATGCAGAAGATACTCCTACAACATGATAATCACTACTGACTACGCAAGTTTACACCCAACTATTAACGTAGCATTAAAGAATACTAACAAGGTTGGACACAACCACTTAAGTGACTATACTATCCCAAAGAAGTAAAAGAAGCAAGCTTTGACAACCGTCCATCCGTCCAGCGGCCCCAAACTGTAAGCAACTACTAAGTATGGAGCTCGATCCCCGCACAGACACCAATGCAGCCACATCCCCAACAGCGAGTCCTACTCCATCAATCAATCAATCAATCAAACAATCAACCAACCCTCAACGGTCCCCTATCCCATCTACTCTACTAGTCCCATGAAGGAAGGAGTACAAACCCCAAGCCAACATGTAAAGTGACAAAGTCTCATAGATCACCACTACTCCCCATCCAGCAAGAAGGTTCCTCCATGTTCTTCCTTTCCGAGAACAAGAGGAAGAGAAGAGGGGGTAAAAGAAAAAGGAGCAGGTGACACACGGAGGGTATTCCAAATCGTCCTGTGCCAATCCTACAGCGCCACCCCATCATCCAGCATCTTGGCTGACTGGATGGCGTTCGGTATGGCTGACACGGGACGGATCCATTGGTTGAGGGTCCCAAGGTCTAGGTAGGGTACCTGACGCCGTGGCTGAACCATAAGGCTGATGGCGATCAAACCAAACTAAACCAAGGGGGGTGGGTGGTTGTCGCACTCACTCGAAAGAAAGGAAAAGGAAAGAAGAAAAAGAAAGGTTGATCGATCGACGCACTAGAGCAAGCAAGCAATAGCAGTATATGCAGAGTTAGGTTCGATTTGCACCGGTCCGAACTTAAAGGGGTAAGAGAGACATGTGAAATGGATGGAAGAAGCAATAGGAGGCGAGTTGAGGCATATTATGGGTAGAGTGAGGGTTTGTGAGGATTATTCTAGTCACCGGCCGTCCATGACGATGTAGAGTGTGTTTGTATGATGGTTTATTGCACGCTCGTGGTCTGTTCCATCTCTTGTATGCATCGTAGATGGTAGGATGTGGTCACTGCTTCGGATAATGGTCTTCGCTATCTCTGATACCCTAGCTAGATGCAAGTCATACTAAGGGTATGACCGGTCTCGATGCCATGCATATCATCCGCATGCAAATCGCGATCTATCTTTCATCCGTTGCGGATCGCGATTGAGTGCAGCGAAGCTATACTAATCGTCAGCCAGCCACCAGACACAACATCTTAGGAGAAGCAGGTGATCTGTCACGGATGGTTTGATAGCTATCTACCCGACGCATCTATCCGCCATCAATCTTCCTCGTTCTATTCCAGAATCGTCTGCACATCTGCCAAGGTGTAATTACCAAACTCTACGGCTACATCTATTGCAGTAGATTAGGACGAATCAAGTGCCATCACTGGCAGATGCAGAGCATGTGCAATTATCTATGGGCCATTCGGCCAACTATCAATTATGTCCCCTAAACAAATATGTCCCCAGTATGAATCGCCATGATCCAAGTCCCGCTTATTTCATGGCATGCACCGTGTACTGACCCATTCCATATATTCAGTAACAGTCCCTCAGCACTGATCGAACCGGCAAAGAGAGAAGAAAGAAAGAAAGAAGTGACATAAGAAACGACAAGGAATGAAGGCCACCGCAACTCCCGGGCGCCGCCCAATGTAGACAGTCAAGATTCAAATGGCAAGCCCACAAGGAAAAAACAAGAAATGTAATGGAATATAGACATGTGCGCTCGAAGGCGCGGGGCAGACATACTGCGCAGCTCTAGTCTGCCAACGATTCCGCTCGATGATCGGCCTTGCTGCTGGCCAACAGAAGTCGTCGAGCTGGGCCGAATTGCAGGTGACATCAGACGCAAGCGCATCTGTATTCATGAGTGAAGATCATGAGACGGTTCATTCGGTGAATGGCATAAGGCGCATGCCCAAGTTGAGTGATATGTTGCTGAAACCTCCTTCAAGGTCTGGACCAGGTGCTGCAAGGCGGGTCAAGTATGGCCATTATCAGCGAAGCGATGACTCGCAAGACTTAACCAACACCTATGCTGCAAGCGTTGGCAATCCTTTGATTGGCATGCAATGATCAATGCATGATTACCAGCGAGAAGCTGTCGATCCAGGGTCCACTGGAGCCGGAAATGCCGGCAATCTTATAACCAAGTGGGGGGATCAGAGTGTATCTGGATTTCCGTTAGAAAAGCGGGTTTAGTAACGAGGCAGAAACAGGCTTGTTCATACCCTGAGCCTCCCGAGGCGTTTCCATAGATGCCAGACTTCCTGCCCTGGCTGGTCAAAATCTCGATGCCATCGACCCACGCTCCAGCGCGAACATAGAAGCCAAGTATAATTTCACCTCTCCGGGTATCTGTCAACTTGTTAGACCATAATCGCACGATCCCATCAGAACTGCGCCATGCACTTACCAAGCACAAAATCATCAGGCTTCCCACCACGATTGCCGAAGAGCTGGCTCGTAGCATCCTCGTAGAAGAATTCCAGACCATAGAGCGCATTGTCATGGTATATCCGAATAGAGGTAAGGATCTTAGTCGACGACGCAGAGGCACAGTCAAGCAGCAGCTGCTCTGGTTCACTACCTTCGAGCTGCGAAAGGCCCACCTTGTTTCCTCTGTACCCGGTATGACTCTTGGGAAGCTTGACCAAGTTCTGCTTCGACTTCAGATTGCTAACCGAGTCAATGTTGTGACTCCCGAGGGCGCCAGAGTAGACGACCACACGGATAGACTTCTTCTTCTCTTTCTCGGTTCCATACACGCGTTGTCGCAGTTCGCTTTCCGTCACCGTGACCTGCCTTGGCAGTCCGTTGCTGCTCGACTCGCTGTTCAAGTATTCGATAAAGCTGTGGCATACATTGTCGCCTTCAGCGTAGAGTTCCATGAATGCGATACCCGTCGAGGCAGTGAAAACGATTTTACCGTTCTCCACCGGCCAAACCGAGACGCTATCGTCCGAGCCCACAGGAGCATCGCCGGGAAGCCGGAAGCAGGGGTGGAACCGAAAACGCAAAGTGTCCAGCCGATGCCAACTACACTCATCTTGAGGTAGGCACAATTTGAGGCCCTGCGTCTTTGTCCGAGTCGCAAAGGGCTCACGTGTAAGGAAGGTCCGGTTAAGACGAACATAGTCCCTGAGCATGATACCCGACTCCTGATGTGGACATCCAAAGAGATGCCCGACTTCATGGAGATGAGCACCAATACCGATGTTAGCGGCTTCCCAGCTGGAACCGCCCTCACCGGAATCGTTAGCCACATAGTCTGTGTCAGTCCTGGTGCAGTCCGACAAGGCGTCTACAACATCCTCCAAGCTGGTGGGGTAGCTCTGCAGGCTGTGGGAGCCAAATATCGCTAGCTTGAGATCCCCGGTGCCTGAGCCCAGAGCGGCGTGGCCAGTGATGGTCTGGGTGCCTACATCCCAGTGGGAGTCGAGAAGCAAGACCGAGACGTACTGCTTCTGACCGGGTCGAAGACGGAAATGGTCTTTCACCGCATCTCTTGCGATGCGGAACAGTTCATCCTTGTGGGTAGCAGAATCATTCTGCTGGGCGAGGTTGAGATCTCTGAGCTCTGCGACCGTCTTGTCAGTCCGGACAACGTGGACCTTGGCCTCATTCCGCATCTGGCCATTGAGGGCATCACGGCGGCTCAAAGTGCCTGCTTGCCATTCTTCTTCGAACCGGAAACACCGACGGCCAAAGTTGTTACGGAACATCTGTTCACTAGTGAATGCCTGCCAAAGATACGCCGCCATGCGGTACTTTTGGATCGCAGTTTCGAGACCATTTCCTTCCCGCTGTTGTCTCTCGGGCACGGCGTCAAATGTGCCATCGGAGTCCTTTCCGAGCAGAACGACGAGGTGCAAGGGCGGCGTATTGACCAAGGGAAGGTAGTTGATACAGATATACGACGTATGGACAGTCTGATGCGCACTGCCGGACGAATGTTTGGCTGTGACAAAGTCGAAGCGCAGGCGATTCGGTCCCGGAACCAGGTGCACCAAAGTCTTGAAGTGAGCAGATGTAACGGGCCACGGGACCGAGGGGAAGCTGTCCTGATGGTGGGAAACCGTTACAGTTCCGTCCAGCGGATGTTGTCTTGGGTCTCCTATTTGGCCATACACCAGCAGTACCTTTTGATGGACCTGTGGAGGAAGTAATAATAGTCAGCCCTGAATACGCTCATTGATCCAGTAACGAGGAATCAGAAAAAAAGAGTAGCGGAGTACAAACCCAAGAGTTATCGGAGATGGAGATGATCCTCGGAGCATAAGGAGAGGAGGGAGTAGGCGACCGCACAGCCCCATTGACAGACATATTACTGCCAAACTGCAGAGAGTAACCCAAGTGGTCAGTCAAGGAACCGCACCCAGAGTGGGTCACACTTACATAGGCGCTATTCCGCTGCGACGGAGCCGTGAGCAGGCCAGGGCGTTGGGGAGGCGCAGAAAGAGGAGAGACGGCGTTGTTGGAGGTGCCGTTGCTTTCGCTGAGGGATGGTAGATTGGGAGAAGAGAGAGTTGGCTTGATTGACGAGGGTGGAGTGAGAGAGCTGTAGGAGGCTGTTTCAAGCGTGGATGATGATTTTCCCGAAGTCATTTCCCCATTGGACTGAGACTCGTTGGACTTTGTCTCTGGCGCTGACTTGCTGGGGTGAATGTTGGCTTTCGAGCGACGACGGAGCTGTTTAAACAACGGCATGATGGGCGGTGTTGCTGGTAGCTGGTTGCTGTTGCTGCTATGGAAGAAAGAAGAAGACCGGAGGGTAGTTGGTGGATGGGGCAGTAAGTATACCGGAGAAGGCAAGAGTGACCTTTGCCTCGTTTTTGCCTTCTTCAGGGAAGAATGAACTGGACTCTTCTAATTGAGAAAGCCAAGTAGAAGTAATCTGCCAGGGATAGATGAACGAGCGACTGCGATTCAAACGCTGTTTCTTTCTTCTTTTCTTTTCTCTCTCTTGTTAATGGGTTTCAATTACTTTTATTTTTTTGGTCTTCTTTTCTTTTGTTATTTTTAACGAGAGATTCGTGGACAGCTCAGCGTTGACGACAACGAGAAGATCGGAGAAAGAGGAGAGCGACCGTTTGCGGCAGCGAGTGACGAACGAATGGCAGAGACACCCCGCATCAACCAGAGTGGCATCCAGGAACCGGGCGAGGATGAAAGTATAAACGAGAGGAAAGGCTGGAATGGAACGTCAAGTGACAATTGACTTAGCGGAAGTCCATTTAGCGAGCTGGCAGGAAGGAAGTGGAATGATGGGGGGAGAGAGAAAAATAGAAAAATAAAAAAATTATAAAACCCAGGAATGATCCCAGAAACAAGGAACGAGGGACTTTCCGAGGGGAAGAGCGAGGAAAAGAGGGGAGAGGGAGAGGGAGGGGGCAGGACAGGACAGGACAGGACAGGCAGAAGGGGGGAAAGGGAAAGGGAAAAGGGAAAAGGAACGAAAGGGAATTAATTGGCAAATTGGCAAAGCAAGCAAGCAAGCAAGCCTGGAGACAAGAGACTCAGAGAGAGAGAGAGAGAGAAATCAGGATGGAGTCGATTAGTGCCTGGACTAAGAGCTAATCGCGAACAATAATGTCATTGGTATGTGAGACAGCAAATAATAATGCAATCTCACCTGTCTCTAATCGGCGTAGACGAAGACCTAGATCCAGTTACCTCCTTTCGAACCCAAAGCTTGTTCTGTTCTTTTCTTGTCTCATTGCGTGGCTTGAATTTAGTGAGGGAGTTAGTTACATGCTACTATCTTAGTTGGTGGTTACTGTCTTCGGTTGAAATCAGATCTGACCACTAATATGACGAACTAACTCGGGTTGAACGACGTTGATTATCGGCTCATCTTCCCTTCCAGCCTCCATCTGTTTCCATCTAGAAAAATCAAATCGAACCCGATCATCGGTCTCGGGGAGGGAACTTTGTTTCCAAAAAAATACCCAGTACAGTGTGAGAGGTATAGAGAGTGATCAATATGGCACTTCTCTGTGTCCAGCCCACGATGATAATATTTTAAAATAATCGTTCTAAATATACTAATATAATAATGACGATGGTAATAATTAACACCAATTTAAAAAAGGAAAAAAAAAAAAAAGAAAAAAGAAGAAGAAGAAAAAAAAAGAAGTAAAATTGGTCCAGGCACTAAAAACGCAACTGCCACTCTGCAGTGGGGCGTATCCAGCTGCAGCTTCTTGTCCGTTGCGAATAGACAAGGATGTGTTACGTAGGCTGGCGGCCACTGGCCAACGGGCGGGAAGAGATAGCCTTCTTGGTTTCACCGTCTCACCACCCGAGACGGTGGAGCCAAGACGATCGCCGGCTATATTTGTCTCCGTTGGCGGTGCTTTGCTACTTTGTTAGTCTCTGCATCGCACTGCTCCTGCGTGCTGACTAGGATGTCCAGTAGGAGTAAGTTAGTCAAGTCCAGCAAGTCAAATTTGCCCCCTCCTAAGTCCTAACCCCCTCCCCCCATCCCCTCTCCTCCCCCCAAATGGGGCTTTATCTGACCCTTAATGACCCTGGCCGGTTATCTGGTCCCGGAGTAACTTGGAGTCTCATATTTCAGGGTAGACCGGGCCTCTGCAGGATGACAAAAAGGGGGTAGATAAGAAAAATAGATTTCCAGTAGAAATTGGCGAAGAAAGATAACCAGTACAAGTTTAAGTAGATAGGGACCGCGCAAGAGTCAGTGCTTTTTTTTGGAGGGAGAACATGGGACCCCTTAGGTCTCACCAACACTAAAGCAGTAAAACCAAGAGTCTTATGTCCCCAGCACGTCCAGTGGAAAGAGCATGGGACTGCGAGGACGGTACCAAGTTCTTCGTTCCAAGCACAAACAAGTAACTAGTAGTTGCTAGCATAGGCGTGTGGTTGACATCGTTGTTCCAATTGTGTTTTATTCCTGCTCTTTGCCCCTCCCCCTCTCTTCCTCTTCCCTTTTCTCTATGCGCGAACCATGTTACATATTTTAATCAGACTTCCCGTTTCCATGATTGCTTCAATGGCATTTTGCTTCACGGAGTATCTCCGGAATAGAGTAGAGTACTAAACTAGCAGAAAGGGAAAAGGAAAAGGACGCCAGAGCCCCAACCACCCAGCTACCAAGGACTAAAAGATTAGTAGTGTAAGTAGTGGTACTTGGGGGTCGTCATCGCCTCTCCCCTTTCCTTATCAACCACAGCTGCCAGTTTGCCTGGAGGGCCTGAGATTACCCGGAAGGGTTTAGACCCTGCAGGACGAGACGGGGCCAGTCCGCATGAAGCAGAAATCCAGATCCATCCATCCATCCCCAAACCTGGATGGATCCTGCTAATATCCCTCCTCGTTAGTATTAGTATCTCGTTGGCTTCCTTGGGGGCTGTGAGTCGGCGTCGGAGCCTGCCACCTCTTCTGTTCCTTATCACACGCCCTCAACTTGGTCGGACTGATTCGCTCCAGCGCAATGTCATCATCCGCCCAGATCCTCGCGAATCTTCTGCATAGTTAAGTAACTCATGACTTCGGCAGTATTGTTGTTCTAGTTCCTGTGGGGTTTAGTCCCAATCAGAACCGCCCGCGGACCTTTTTTCTTTCTCTCTCTCTTCTTCTTAGCTGTAGTAGCACCTACTTAAGTGCTTACTGTGGTCGTGAGTGAGATACTTCTAAGTAACGGAGAGGCTTTGAGCATGGTACTTCTCAGCTAGGTGCATACTAGCCGCTCCTCGTACACGTCATGCTTTTGCGTTCCCTGTTTCTTTAGTTACTGGGGTCCCATAACCTCGTCCCGTGTTGCTTTGTCCCGAATTATCAGTGCTTTCGCAACCTTTTCCTCGTCTCTAGCAAATCTCTCTCCCTGGTTTTTCATTGCACGAGGACCACCCAGTCTCCACCACCGTAGGGCTGGCTTGCAATTCTCTGTCTCTCATGTCCCGCTGAATAATCATGGCAATCAATCTGCTATGTTAGTCAATGAGCTCCCAAACTAGCTAAGGAGCAAACAACAGATGATCACTTCCTTTAAAACAGTGATCTCCGCTAGCGGGTTTGTCTCAAGAGCACAAGGCAAACACAGAGATAACTGCGGCAACAGAAGCAACAGGAAGATGAGTTTAGAATGTCGGGTACCACTGCTCGGGGTCCGACATACTCAACGCCCGGTCCAGCCAAATCCGAAGTGTTGCACTGTCGGCCCATAGCCGCCGCAAAGGCGTATTTACAATGACCCGCGTGCTCCAGAAGAGCTTGCTCTAACGCCTACTTCATAACTTGCTCTCTGTTTCAGTCGAGTGTATTTATGAACCATATGGCTGGCCGATACTCCGTGATTGACTGCCGTGTCCATCATACTCAAATGCTGTTAACACTGAACATCTGCCTGGCCTCCCTATTCGGAAAGTATAGGCAGCCCATGTGTAGAGATGCGTTGGTCAAACTCTACTACTATTTGAACATCGGCATACCCAAAAAGAAAGAAGACCGGGTCAGTACGAAGTATTCCTCCGGTCGGCAGGCATCGATCATTGGAAGAACTGTGATTATGCTCGATCGACTACTGAGGAAGTGAGGAGGAAGAATTCCTCTCTCCACAATCGCACGGCTGAAGAAATGCTGCGGGCGAGACAAAGAGAGGGGCAGGAATGAATGGATCGGAGAATTCTGTGGCATGTGTCTGACCAGTGGTGCGCTGGTGCATTCCGAGATGATCGCAGGAATCATTGGTTCAGAGTGGACGAGAATTGTCTGCCGGCTGCTTCAGAAGCGAGTCGCAGCGTTTAATTGTGCAACTTTTGTGTAGTATAACTTAAGCCCTCACGAGTCATGAATTATAGGGGATGTGAAAAAGCAAAGAAAGAGAAGGAATAATCAAACTCATGTCGAATAGAGAATGAGATGCATCAATTATCAAGTCTGTCACCTGTAAGGAATTCAGCTGCTATTGACGGCGACCGGGGAATCCATCCGTCAGAGGGAAAAAAACATCCCTTGGCTCAAACTGGCGACGATGGCAACTCTCTTTATCCACCACCCGCCCTCAATTGAAGAAACTTCTTGCCTTTCCCGCATTCCCAACACAAAGACCGTTTTCTTTGAGGTTGCAGGTTACCCAGGCAGGCCCGGACGACTTCCATACATACCAGCTATTCTCGCCGCTTCCGTGCCCGTGGGCGCTAAACGAAGAAGGGATTTCCCCAGAGTTCGTGGCTGCTTTAGGCCCATAGCCTCCCTTCCTTTCGCTGACCCGAGCCCAAACTAACCTCACTAAAACCACCGACTAAACTTGCCTGGTGAACTGAACCAACTACTGCTCTCTCTCACTCACTGGCTGGCTGCTAGCTCGTCACTCCGTTCGCCAATTGGATCCCATTGCAGACTCCTCTCCTCAGCCTTTCTCTCCCCCCTCCTCCCTTGTGCACCACCGACTTGACTCCTCCACTTCGAACCTGGACGTGGTTTCAAGTCCTTTACTCTCAGGGCCCGCACCTCATCAGCCGCCTTCGGTCGATGCTCACTGCCAGAGCTCTTCTACCGGCTGAACAGCGCTTCCTGTCCTCGATATTACCGAGCAATGGCTCTTACTCAACCTTCAACTTCGGAGAGGACGATCCGCAAAATTGACATTGCCCAGGTATGTGCACTTTCCTTGCTCTGCATGATGTGGTCTAAAATTTTACTTTTACCCTCTCTCCCTTGTCTGTCCAAGCCAAGTCTAATCGAATGTGTTTCTTTTACCACTAGGTGTCCCTCAGCCTTCAGGATCGTTTAGGCCTCGCCAAAGTCAAATATCAGAACGGACGTCTACAGGCCCTCGGACCAAACCATAATGGCGGAATACAGGTGTGCTTGGGAAGTGACCGGCCGTCGGATTCTTCGTCGGAGGTCTCGCACAGCCGGAGTGAAACCCCATTGACTCCGCCTCCCTTGCCCAACTCGTCATATTCAAAGGAGCTCCCTCGATCGTCTCGGAATAGACATGCAGCAACCTTCGATTCAAAGGCAATGCAGCCCATGCTGTCTGCCAGCCGAAAGCGTCTACGATCGGACTCAATTACAGACCGTACGATCAAAGCCCCCCGGGTGTCTTGGAAAAGTTCACACCACCTGCCTGAATCGTCTCCAGGCTTCAACCGACAGCACCTGAACCGACACCTTCCCATTCCCTTCATGTCAGATATCCCCGAGTATTCCTCGCCGGCATATCCTCCTCACTCAGAAGACGACAACGACCCCGACCTCCCCGTTCACAGTTTTCAGCATGTCAGCTCTATGGCAGGCTCTTCACCTCCCCGCACGCCTCCTCCCAAGCACGCCCGTCTATCCCGGAACGACCGACAATTGCGGCATGCAGACGGAGCAGATTTGCTTCTGTACCTGGCCAATTCCCCAACTCCGGCCAAACCGCAGCAGGCTCGGGACTTCCCTCCGTCGACTCCTCCGAGCCAGCACGCCGCTCTGCCGTCACTAACACCCACTCCTGGCGGCGGCGGCGTCTTCCCCAACTTCGGCACTCCGAATCAACAGTTCAACTTTGCCGACTTTGTGAATGTAACACCCAGTCCTGCCCAACCCCCCTGGGGCGGTCGCACGCCTGGAGGGCCCTCCAGAACACCCCTTGCGAACAAGGAGCGAAAGAGATCTAATCTTGACGGCCTGCTGCCCCCGAGCACGGACAGCCCGAGGAACCGCGGAAAGGGGCCTGCCATGGTCCTCCAACTCGGTGAAGAGCTGCGACCGGAGAAAAGCAAATAAATCTGGATGTACAGATTCTACCCTTCTTGTCTATGCATTTTCCCCCACCCCCATTGCTTATGACTCCTAATGACTGTTATGTTCTACCCACCTTCATACCCCGCCACTGTATCCAATGTCTAGTCAAAGTTCCCTTGTGTTATCCGGCCACGCCCTGTCGTGGGCCGGTACTATCGAAATAATGTACACGCCACCTGTCCATACCACATACCCCATTTTCTTTATGCCATGTTTTCCAAAGGACTATTGGAAACTGATTTCCTTTGTGTGCAAACATATCGTGTGACTCACTGTTCGGTTAATCTTGACGTTCCTTGTCCCTACTATCAACCACAGATACTCATGATATTGCTTTGATCAAGCAGAATACAATAGTACCATTCACACACGATTATACATCTCAATCAATGACCAAAGTCTCTACCTCATGACGTCTACACTTGACGACCCTGTAAATTATCATCAGAAACCGTATCTGACAACGAAAGTCACGAGGAATCACGACCCCGCAATACCTCCCACCCGGAAAAGGAAAGAGAATGACCCGTGTGCGGCTAACACAACGAATTTGCAAAATTGTGTTTACGCGACGCGTCTTTTTCTCTCGGGAAAGTTTAATTCGTGTTGATTTCGCGTTAAGGTTAGGCTGTTCTGGGTTTAGTGCGGGCTCGGTTGGATCGGGGAGTTTGCTTGTTTGGGGTTAGCTTGAGATCACGGATCTGGGATTACAGTCTGAGTACGTACTGGTGGTGAGAGGGGCACGTGACGGTTTTCTATCTACCATATAGAGAGAGAGTTGTTTGTAGTAGTAGTAAGTAGTAAATGATTATATTATATAGAGGTATGTGTCTTACATCCAACGTTCACAGTATCTAATTACTCTTCCTGCTCCTCAGCCAATGGCTCACCCCCCTCCTGCTTCGTCCGTTCCGACTGTTTCCTCCACAAATAAGCCAGATAGTCAGACGTGGTCGCCTCATCGATCGATTTATCCTCTCTGACTTTGAGAAATCGAGGAAACCGCAAACTCAGACCCCGTTCATCGCTAACTAATCCCAGAGCGGCCGTGTACGTAGGACTCAGCGTGATATCTGCGAAGGCCATCTCCCAAACTTCCTGCGGTTCGAACCACACGTCCGGCTCGCCGTAGTATTCGACGTAGCTGGGGCGGGAGATGACGTTGGGGGTACCCTCCGCGTACTTGTCCTTGTTGGCTTGGTAGAATTTGTCCGTGAAGCCCGACATGCACTTCGTTACGGCTTCGAGACTTCCGGTTTCTGGGTTTCGAACCGCAAGGAGGATCGGTGACCACCATTTCGCTTTGCGGCCTTGGCCGTGCCAGCCGGCTATGGGGATTAGGTCCAGAGTTTCTGATGAAGTGCTGTAGTCTTTTTTGACTTTGAGCCAGGATTCGAGGCGCTTGTCAGGCTCGTAGGTGGAGAGGAGGGCTTTTCGGCGGGTGTTTTTGGAGGGTTTGTTGTCTGTCATGTTGGTGGTTGGTTGGCCGGGTGTGGTGGGTGTTCCGTTGGAAGTGTCGACAGCTGGTGTGTCAATTCCTTCGAGATCAGGTTTTGGCATGTTGTCGAGCACTTTGACCATGATGCCTTCGCATTTGGTGTCTGTGGCACTCTTGAAAAACTCTAATACTGCTTCGGAGTCGGCTGAGGTGGCGTCGAGACTCTTCACCCAGGTGAACCGTTTGGGAATTTCCACGAATAAGCTCCGTAGCAGCTCTCTTCGCTCGCGGAATGATCGGTCGAGTAGTGGTTGGCCGTTCAGGTACATTAGGTCAAAGGCAAACAGACACACGTTGACTTTGATTGCTCCGATATCGACGTTCTTCTTCGCGCGATTGGTCAGGATCTGAAAAGCCTGTAGTTCCCCCGTTTCTTGATCAACGGCAACTACCTCCCCTTCGAGGATGAAGCTTGATACGCCTTCTCCTCTTATCTCTGGGACAAGAGACACCAGGTCTGGGTATTTCTCCGTCATATTCTCCAAGTGACGGGAGAATATTGATACTTTGCCTTGTACATCGCAATGCACTTGCGCACGCTGCCCGTCATATTTGTATTCACAGCTGAAATCGCGCCCTTGCAGCTTCGTTAGCATATCTGACAGATCCCGCGTGATGCTGCCTAGCATGGGTCTCAACGGAATATGTATCTGAAGACCACAGCGGACAAGAAGTTCATCTGTAGCTCCGACTTCAAGCAAGCAGGGGACGAGGTCATCGTAGTCCGGGTGTCTCGCATACGACGCCTTAACGATCTCTTCTGCGTTGCCGTAGATCTCAGCTAGCTCCTCTTTCTTCATCTGTGCCATTTCCCGCTGAGAGTAGATTGAGAATCCCGCTCCCTCTGGTTTGGAGTAAAGGAATGCTCTAGCCAGTGCAATGAGCATGGTAGTCTTGACAGCGCCGATGCGTAGATTTTGGACCAGAGTTCTAACAATGTACCGACTCTCTTCCGCACCACGGGCATCTTGCAGAAGTTTCTCGACGATCCTTTGCTTTGTCTCCTGGCTTCCACTCCCTTTGCTCATAGCTATCTTCTTGAGCGACTGGTAGACACCTTTGATTCGAAGCGGTTTAGGCTTCATCAATGTAAAAGACTGTCTCTTCTTGGCCTCGAATGCTACGTCGCCAGCATCGCCGTGCTTGTCGTACAGAGTTTTAAGGCCTTGGCTGTTCAGTCCGTACACCTTTTTGAGCGCTTTTGATATCGAGGACCCGCCAAGTCCAAGCTCCAATTCGTCGTATGGTGGGGATATTGAATTAGTCGCAAGCCATACAGCGGGAAGCACACTGGACGGGTCGGCCTCAATCAACACGCGGAGAAAATTGACCAATGTATCGACGATCTTGATGCGACTGGTTGTGGCATTTGCGAGCACAAAAGCTCTGGTCAGGAGGGCGTATGAAGCGTCGCCACCTTCCGAAGCCCAGTGTCCTTGCAGCTCGTGCGCATATTTGGAGGCATCGAACGTGATAGGACTCTGATCGAAAGGAACTGCAAGAGATACAGTGTCCTCCGTGCCTGTGGATGACTGCAGTGACAGGACGCCTTTCTTCTGCACTTTGGCCGGTTCCCGATCGTTATCGCCTGTGATTGATTGTGCCGAAATAGGCTCATCACTAGGCGTGTCGACTTGCGGATTTGAAAGCGCATGCTCCTGATCCCATTCGGCCTGCAGCTTACGAGCAAGCGCCTCGTCTGACAGAGTTTGTTCCGTGGGGACTTCGGGCACAGCATCAAATGCCTGCTGCGTCTTCTCGGCTTGCTTGGCTGCCTGGCCCTGGAAGAACGACGCTATGCTCCGGGAGCGCTGGGGTGTAGATCCGGGATCATCCCTCTTGCGTTTTTTAGCTGGACTGGACATGTCGAAGGTGTTTATAACTCATTCATATAGGAGTACGATGTATGGCAATGGCATACGACATTGCCCATCCCGCGCGCTCCATAGTGGCTGCAATGCGGGCGGGAGTGACGTTGTTTGCGGTGGAGGCGGAAGATGAGCTGGAGCAAAGGGCGGAAATGCCCAAGGCGGAGTTGGCGACACCTCGTCCTTCTCCCCGTGTTTCTCCCCCGCCAGCTTACCCACAATGGCGACTCCAGCTTCTGCCCTGTCGTCGCATGAGAGGACCCGGGTTGAGGATTATCTGAATGACAAGCTGCAGGTTTCTGCCGACTTGGAGAGTCTTGACTCATTGCTGTCAAGTCTCCGAGCCCAGCATGAGCTCCAACGCAAGCAGGTAGAGCAGTACTCCCATCCTAAGTGAACAGCAGACATTCAGAGACATTTACTGACAAGCTGACTGTAAAGCTAGCAGAGGCACACGAAGCGCTATCGAATGCCACAAAAGTCTCCAACGACCATGCCGAAGCCACTCGGAAGCAAGCCGAAGCATTCAACGAGCAACAGGCCGATATCGACCGGCGCTTGAAAGAACTCACGGGGTCGGATTCTAGCGATGAGGCAGCGAAACGGTTCGAAGCGAGTATAGAGAAGCTGCGGAGGCTCGAGATTTCGAGGGATTATATGACTTTGCTGAAGGAGGCGGAAGATCTGAGGTATGGGGTTGTAATATATCCTGGGAAAGACAACGGTCGCTGATCTTCGAACAGCAAGGATGCCTTGAACAATATCAAAGATCAACCCCGGACGGCGATTCAATCGTACACCCGACTGCGCAATATCGCCCAATCCCTCAGAGATGCTCAGCCGGCTGCAGAAGGAGCTGCCCCTCACCTGGTCGACTACGTGGGGAAGCTATCGTCCGCCCTCAGGGAGCAAATGAAATCAGACTTCGCCCAACGACTACAGGGAACCATGGAGCAAATGAAGTGGCCCTCGAAGGATCTACACTTTCCGGAGGACATACAGGCACAGTGGAGGGAGAATGTGGAACTGCTTTTGGGCCTGCAGAAACCGTACGTGGCATCAAGGACAGCTTCAATGCTTGGGTGTAACCAATCAGCTATAGGGAACTCAAGTCTCATGCCTCTGTGCTGAAACACCACGGCGCTGAGCCGCCGGTTTTACTGCCATTGGAAGTCATGGTGCATCCGCTCGAACTGCGCTTCAAGTACCATTTCAGCGGAGACAAGCCGACAAATAGGCTTGACAAGGTACGTACATCGCTAGCCGTAACGAAGACTAGTCTCTAATCCAGGACAGCCCGAGTATTTCCTGGCTCATGTTATGGACTTGATCAACAACTTTGGGGGATTCTTCGCCTCGTTCCTTCAACCCATCTTCGACCAGGAGGCGCAGAACGTCGGCACGGATATGGGGTGGAATTTCTACAATGCCTCTCACGCTTACATCACGGCGCTCCTCCCTGTTTTGACGCATAAGATAGCCACGTTTCTGCCTCAGATCTCAAATCACCCGCAGCTCCTGAGTCACTTCATGCATGAGTTGATGAATTTTGACAACGAGGTCCGCGAGTCGTGGAACTACCTACCGGACCCTTACTCCACCGAGGACTGGCGGGGAATGACCTGGGAAGTCCTGACCAAGCAAGGCTGGTTTGACCGCTGGCTTCAGGTCGAAAAGGAATTCGCATTGGCCCGCTACAAGGAGATTGTCGACACTCCGGATAGCGGTCACATCGACTATGAAGGCGTCGACCTCACCTCAACCAAGCCCACCAAGGCTGCAATTCGGGTGAACGATCTTCTCGAGACAATAACGGAGCGTTACCAGCCCTTGTCCTCATTTAGCCAGAAGCTGCGCTTCCTCATCGACATCCAGATTACCATCTTCGACCAATTCCATGAACGCTTGCACTCCGCACTCGAAGCTTATCTCGCCATGACCTCCGCCATCGGCCGCACCGTCCAAGGCGCCGACGCAGCCAGCATTGAAGGCGTGGCCGGGCTCGAACGACTCTGTCGAGTCTTCGGCAGCGCTGAATACCTCGAGAAGAAGATGGAGGACTGGAGCAACGAAGTCTTCTTCGTCGAACTCTGGACCGAGCTCCAAGATCGCGTCCGACAAAACAAAGACGGCGGCAAGAATGTAGCAGGCACCATGTCCATCGCGGACGTCGCATCGCGCACGTCCCAAGCCGTTAACAACAATCACGACCGAAGCACAGGTGCATCCTCATCAGAAGGCGCTCTCTTCGACGAGACCGCCTCCGCCTACCGCCGTCTCCGTCTTCGTTCGGAATCCATCATTACCTCCACACTCACTTCAAACGTGCGCTCCGCCCTGAAACCCTACTCCCGCGTATCCACCTGGGCTTCCATCGCCACGAGTAACACTACTGCTCCTCTCCCTCCCACCTCCGACCTCGCCCCAGCCATGCGCACTCTCTCTACCGAAATCACCTTCCTCTCTCGCGCACTGGGAGTCGCCCCGCTCCGCCGCATCATCCGCCAGGTCCTCCTCGCTATTCAGACCTACCTCTGGAGCAATGTTCTCACAAGGAACACTTTCTCCGCGTCCGGCGCCGCGCAATTCATCAGTGACGTCGAACACCTCTGCGGTGTCGTTGATGCTGCCCTGGGAAGCGGAGCAGGGCAGCCAACAGCTGGCAGCTCTATTAAGAGCATAAATAAATTAGCGGAAAGTCTTATTCTCTTGGGATTGGAGAACTCGGCTGATGCGAAGACTACCGCTACAACGGAGGACTCCGAGGTCGATGGAGACACACGCCCTGGGCTATGGGAAGTTGAGAAACGACTCTTCAAGGATAATGAGAGCGCGCGGGTTGTGCTTGCAGAATTGGGGATCGAGAGTTTGACGGAGGCGGAGGCGAGGAGTGTACTTGAGAGACGGGCGGAGATTGGTAATTAGTTGAGAAGGTACACCGGGGGTGTATATATGGATGATGGTGATTTCTGAAGTCGCAGTAATTAGGTAGCATGAGATATCCACTGTTACAATTCTAGTATGCATTCAAGTATAGTATTCTTCTGGCTCATCGTATTATCCACTGTATTTATCATTATCTATCCACCCTCTAAGTATGTATGTACCCTCTATATTTATACAATCCTATCTATAGCTCAGACTTTTGTTTCTACAGATATAATCCAAAATATATCCAACACGAGACAAACTTACCACACTAGCCAAAACTCACCCCTCAATGATGCACAACAGGCCCATGCCCCCTCTCCCCCAACCTCCTCGTCGACACCTCCCCAGCACTCTCCCTCTTCAACCTCTCCACAATCCCGGGTCCAACCTCTTCAATCGCCCGAATCAGCGCCTCAACTGTCTCCCTCGTCGTCTGAACATTAACCACACAACGGAAGAACTTCCCATTGCCCACGGCATCCTCATCCCCACTCGGCGGGGCAAAATCCACCATGAACCCCTTGTTCACAATAGTATGAGTAATCTGCTCCGTGACCTTACTATTCGCCTTGCCGCGCTCCGTCTCATTCGAGACCAGCCCGCGCGGATGCACGAACGCACGGTTCGGCGCATAGTGGAAGCACACCTGCAAGCATGGCGGCGGGTTCTCGCTCACGAGGACGAAGTTCGGGTTCTGCTCGACCAGTGTAGCGAGGTGCGCTGCCACGGCGCAGGCGGAATCGATCTGGCGCTCGTACCCGGCGGTACCGTAGTAGGTCCAGCTGAGGAAGAGCTTGAGAGAGTCTGCGCGACGGCCGCATTGGAGGGTGAGATCCGCGAGGTCCCAGACCTCGGGGGAGTCGACGACGAGTTCGGTCTCGCCGTTCAGGGTGTCTGGTGCGGCGGCGGTGTCTTCGTTGTGGAAGAGGTAGCCGGCGGGGAGGGTGTTGGCGAGGTGGAAGCGACGGATGTCAGCGGCGAGGAGGAACGAGCAGGTGACGGGGACGCCGAGCATTTTGTGGGGGTTGATGGCGATGCTGTCTGCTTTTTCGGCGCCGGAGAGTTTGGCGCGTTGTTCGGAGGAGAAGATGAAGGAACCGCCCCAGGAGCCGTCGACGTGGAACCACAGGTTGTATTTCTTGCAGATGTCGGCAATTTCGTGGAAGGGATCGAAGGAGCCCATAACGGTTGTGCCGGCAGTGGCGTTGACGTAGAAGGGGGTGCGGTCCTCAGCGAGGGCCTTTTGGACGAGGGCTTCGAGCTCGGAGGGGATCATGCGGCCTTGTTTGTCGATGGGGACGGCCCATACGGAGGAGCTGCCGAGGCCGAGCATCTGGGCGGCCTTTTCGATGCTGTAGTGGCCGTGGGCGCTGGTGAAGAGCACGAAGCGGTAGTTGCCATTGCCATCTTTCTTGGTACTGGGGTAGAGGTTGTTGCGCGCGATCACGATGGAGGTGGTGTTGGAGGCAGAGCCACCTTGGACGGAGATGCCGCCGGCGCGGGGCCCATTGAGGCCGAAGAGAGAGGCAAGTTGCTTTCCGGTGTGTTTCTCAATGACGGTGAGGGCCGGGGAGACCTGGTAGACGTGGACGTTGGTGTTGAGCGCCGCGAGGATAAGCTCCGACGCTACGCCGGGGGCGTTGGTTGATGCATAAAGCTTGTCGAGGAATCCCTGGTGCCATGTGTTGACCGAGTAGCGCAGAACCTTGCGCAGGACGTCGATCAGACCGTCTTGTCCGGTTCCTTGATCGGGGAGGTCTAATTGGAGGAGTTTCTGCAGCTCTTCTGGCTTCTTGTGTTCTACGAGGGACGTGCCTCGAGGCTGGGAGTCGCCATTGATGCCGTTGTGCAGTGATTGCTGGGGCAAAGGGTCCTCGTCGGCGCTTCGGATGAACGGAATCAGCAGGTCTTCGACGGCTCTCAGAAGCTGTAAAGCAATCAATTCGGTCAGTTTTGCGCTAATTGAAGGATCAAAGAATGCCAGCGGTACACAGACACAGGAGCCATGATCAAGGATTATGCACAAGCTCGTCAGACGTGAGAATGAGCATGACTCACATTTTGTACTTCATCGGCGCGACTGGCCGGCGGGGCAGAAGCCATGGATGCGGGGAGAGAGGACGGAGATGATGAGGAGAAATCAAGGGGGATATAGAAGAGATATTGGGAGGTGGACAGAGGTGAGAGACTGTACACGACGATACGGCAACAGTTCCAAAGAAATCCTCAAAAAAAAATTCAAAGAAAAAGCAGCCCATGGAGCAGCAATTGTGGCTGTCAAAAGTCAATCGGAACGGCAGGCGGGAGAAGAGGATCCACTGAAGTGATGACATTTTCCGGGTATTCGACATCATGACCCAGTCTTTGGTGGAGATCCGGCTCTAATGGCTGCTCAGGAACCATTCACACATCAGACAAGGACCTTAGGATTTGAGATTTGCATTGAATTCCAGCTGAGTGCTGATAGGTTGGTATTACATGCCTCGATCACGACTTTTTCGACCCCGATCACCTCATAACACGCCCAGAAGATATAGCTAATATACACGGTCATAGCCCCAATTATGGTTCATTATACATGGAATAGAAGGAGGTCAGATTATACGGCAGAATAGATGGCAGAAATGTGTCGCCCACATACCACGCGCTGCTCCATGTTCACCGTGCGACGATCAACCTTGCCCTTGTGGCGAGGCATGATCTGGAGGCGCGCTTCCTGCTGCTCGTCTGCCTCCTCCGGCGGGGCGTGGATGTAGTTCGGCTTAGACAGATTACTGCGCTTGCCTGTGCCCAGCTGGAAGTGTTCGTTGCCTCCCCACCAGAGCGCATCGTATCCCCAGTCACGAGTCTCATTCAGGGTGCTGGAGGGAGCTGAATCCACATGGGTACTGTTGTCCATAACTGCGGAAACGTGTGTCGTACCGACTGAGATATCATGGATGCGGATGGGCGTCAGGCGGTTGGTCTTCTCGTCAAATTCGGAAAGACCACTCAATGCCTTCACCTTGGCGGGAGCGTCCTGTACATGGGTCCATTTGCCGGTACCCAGAGCTCCCCAGATGCCCCGTCCGCAAGCCCAGGTATCGGCAGTGACGCGTCCCAGGTCACGGAGGGTGGCAGGGTCCTCCTTGGAGCTAAGTATGCGCTGCGCATCCACGGTGAAGAAGCTGTTGGCACCTCCAGCCGCAACCCGAGTGGCCTTAGGCAACCAGGGACCGCGGTAGAGGTTCCTGATGGGTACCAGAGTCGGGGTATCGCAGAAGGGCGATGACGGGTTGAATTCCATCGCTAGCTGCCCGAAAGAGTTATCGCCAAAGGCAAAAACATTGCCATCCTTGTCAAGGGCGAGCGAGTGGTAATCACCCGCAGCAATCTGAACAATCTTCGAGCCCTTGAGCGCAGTGATCTCGTGAAGGGCATCCACCGGCCCCTTGGGGCGAGTGGCCCAGGTCAAGCCGGGGATACCGAGCTGTCCAAACGAAGGGTAATTTTCAGTAGAAGCAGCAAAAGAGAACACTCGGCCGGAGCTGGTCAAGAGAAGAGCATGGTCGAGTCCGCTAGCGAGAGCGGTTATACGCTCGCCCAGCTTGAGAGCCGGCTGCAGCAAGCGGTAGCTAATACTGGACGTTCCTGACCGGAAAGGCACCCATGAGCCCTCCTTGGTCTTGCGGCCACCCAGCTGGTCCTCCTTGGCAATGGGTAGTGAGTAGACATTGCCGTCCGAGGACAATGCAAGGATCCGATCGTTAGACATGCACAACGAAGCCAGATTCTTGCCGGTAAGGGTCTTCGTGGGTTTAAACTCGGTCTCTGAATAGCCCTTGCCCCATTGCACCAAGTCGCCGTTCTCCGTAATGGCTGCCCCGGACCTCTCTCCGAGCTTGAGGTCTCTAAGCACTTGACCTTCAAAGTAGGCAAACTTCCGGGGAGTCTTCACCACGGACTCCTTCGAGTCCGGATCAACCACGCGATAGACGTTCGTGCCCCAGACATAGACACCGGGACTCTTAACGCTCCGCTTGTGCTGCACGTACTGCGAGCTCAATTCTTCAGCCGACTTGGTAAGGTCTTTGACCTTCTCCACTGGCTTCTCTATCTGGTTCCGGTTGGATGTAGCATAATCGTAGATGAAAAAGGCAGCAGTGCCTGCTCCTGCCACGCCCAAAGAATTCCGGAGCCAGTGCGAGTTACCCGATGGCTCCGGTCCCTTGTTACCGCTGGCATAACATCTGCGCCAGGGCGTGGCGATAGATCGGTTGTTTCTCACAAGGCGACGTGAAGAGTTGGTGACGACGGTCGTCACCGATTGCCGCCCCCGATGAGTCCACATGATGTTTGGCAGTGCTCAATAAGTTCGCACGCCGAGTCTGTAATCGATTGCCAGTTTCTTGTTTGATTCCCGGTGGATCAGGATCGATCAATGAGAAAGAGGCAAAACATCAGCTGGATGTTGCGTCAAGTCGCGTAGGCGGAATATGACGGCAGAATAGCGCATTGAAGCCACGCCGGATTCATTGCTTCTCTACCTTTCCCTGCGCGTGGGCTCTGGGCTTGGTAAAGATTGCTTGCCTTGATATTTGGAGGCTCTGATGCAGAGGCTGTACTTCAAGTCTTTCCAACGCCAAAGATTTCTCCACAATGCGCCAACAAGCTGCAGGACAGCGAAGTCGACGCCAGACTGCCCCGTCGGGCCGGGCTCTGGAACAGAAGGTCAAGGAGGCTACGGAACTCGAGACAATCCCGGATGGTGTGGACTCAATTACTGATGTTCGCAACGAGCTGGAGTTTGCGCAATGGTACAATGAAGTAGAGGAGAGCATGTTGGAAGCTAGCTACGATGAATACCAGTAAGCCAATCCGTGGTCAACCCCACAGAGCCCCTGGTCTATGCTGACATTCATTGTCCTTAGAGCTTGCCTCCAGGAGCTTCAAATGTCCAAGTCCCATCTCGATTCCTTGTTAACCGATACTTCGTCAACCCTCGACCTTTTGACTAGCCTCTCGAACGACTTCAGAGCCGTGGAATCACAGACCTCCCAATTCCGGAAACAATGTGAGGGGCTACTCTCTGCGCAGAAGCATGACTCCGATTTGGCGGAGGATATTCAGGAGAACCTCCAGTACTATGACTTTCTAGACCCTGCGTCGAGGAGACTGAATGCCCCCGGGGCTGGGAATACGGTCCGTGGGAAGGAATTCTCGGATATGCTACGACGGCTTGACGAATGCCTGGATTACATGGAGACACATGTCAGTATACCTCACAATGTTTACCGCACTCCAGCTAACGCTCCCTGTTGCGCAGCCCGATCACAAAGAGGCCGGCGTATACCGCTCCAGGTACCGTTTGCTCATGACTCGCGCCCTCACCTTGATCCGAACCCACTTTGTGTCCTCCCTCCGAGATGTATACGCCGATGCGTCGAAGAAGATCGCAGATAAGCAGCTCAACGATACAACCATGTCCACTCTGCTCTACGCCAAATTCAGAGTCGGCGCACCAGAACTGAAGCAGATCGGACTCGAGATTCAGAAGAGAGCCGTCCCGCCTCTAGATCCCGACCAGGGCACCGAAGCCGAATACCAAAGCTTGCTGAACGAGCTTCATGCGAACTATGCAGCCACACGCGGGAAACTGATCATCCCACTCGTATACAAGAACCTCAACGACCTTGCACAGTCTCCAACATCATCTCAGGATCTTGTCTCTTTTGCCCGCGCCAGCATCAGCTACATCCGCGGCGTATGCCTCGACGAGTTCGAACTATGGGGCGAATGGTTTCACGGCCACGGCGGACTCTACGACTTCCTGGAAACAATCTGCGAACCGCTCTACGACCACCTCCGACCACGAATCATTCATGAAGACAAGATCGTCAAGCTCTGTCAGCTCTGCACCCTCCTGCAAACCCGATACCTGCTCGACCAGGACGAGGAAATCGAGCAACAAATAGACGCCAACCAGCTCGACTTCCCAGCGCTGATACAACCCGCGCTCGAAGACGTCCAAACCCGCCTCGTCTTCCGCGCGCAGGCCTTCCTCCGCGACGAGATCGAGCGCTACAAGCCTCGCCCCGAAGACCTAGACTACCCAGCACGCAACAAGCAATTCTCCATATCCGTCACCGAAGGCCAGATCAGCGGCCGCAAGATCACCTCTACAGACCCCACCACCACGACGCTCCCGAACCGTCCTAAACCCACAACCAAGCTCAGCAGTGACAGCGACCCAGCATCAACAACCCCAGAAGACACCACCGCCACGACAAAATGGGACCTCGAGTCCCCGACAACCCAAGACCAAAGCGGATGGTACCCGACCCTCCGCAAAGCCATCTGGCTCCTCAGCCGGATCTACCGACTCGTCAACGTACATACCCTCTCCCTTCCCCTCCCCATCCTAAATTACCCCCCAACTAACACAATGATATTTGAAAAACAGTCCACCGTCTTCGACGACCTCGCGCACCAAATCGTCCACCAAACCACCACCTCCCTACACAGCGCGAGCACTCTCCTATCGACAAAAACCACCCCCACCGACGCCCACCTCTTCCTCCTCAGCCACCTCCTCCTACTAAAACAACAAATCGTCGCCTTCGACATCGAATACACCACCCCGGAAACAACCCTCGATTTCTCCGCCATGACATCCACCTTCTACGAACTCCGCTCACGCGGGGGTCTCTTCAACCCGCGCAACCTCTTCAAATTAGTAGGCCATGGCCTCCTCCCCCGCGTCGTGGAGAACATGCTCGACGCGAAGGTCGAGCTAGATGGACGGCTCCGCACGGTCATTAATGAATTCATTAATGAGTTTGCGGCCGGGAAGATGACGGCTTCATTGCCGGCTAGGAGTTCCTCTATGGTAGGGCTGGGGGAGGTTATGGGTCCGTTGTGCGGGAATGTGGAGAGGGAAGTGGGGAGTTTGAGGAAGGTGTTGGGGGAGTATTTGGATGATGGGCGGATGAGGGAGACGCTGGTGGGCGCGGTGCAGGATCGGGTTATTCAGATTTACGAGGAGTTTTGGGAGATGTATGTTGATGCGGAACGGAGGAGGGGGAATATCGTGAGTAAGAAGGGGAAAGGGAGGGAGGATGAGGTTTGGGATGTGGATACGTTTGCGGAGTGGTGTGAGGGGGTGTTTAGGGTTGGGTTTGTTGGGTTGGGGAGGGAGGATGACGGTGAGGGGAGTATGAGTGGGAGTGGGAGCGTGAGGTCTTGATGGATTCCTACTACTCCCTATCTTATTCTTGTAAAGTGGTAGTACTTAGTAGATATTATTATTTTTTCTTTGACTTCCAATGTATATACAGTGTATTGAAGATGAACGGAACAAGACGCTTTTTTAAATTAAGAAATCATGTGCCTCACAACCAGTCACGGAACAAGAAAGGAAAACTAGGCATATCCAGAATCTTATTCAACAATTAAACTCACCCAGCCGAAGTCCGTTAAAACAAACTATGCACACCGAATGCGAAACGCTGCCGATTTGGGTATGATGCAGAGGGGGAGGAAACAAAATGCATAGTCGAAACGCTGGAAGAGAGAGAGAAAGAGATGCTTGGGAATATGGGACTGAACATGATGCTAGGTGGGTGGGGCTTTACAGGACGTGGCGGATTTTGGCGTAGAGCTCGGTATCCAAGAAATTGTACTTCGGGTCGGGTTCGCAGAAGGGATGGGTCAGGAGAGTCTCAGCAGTTGGTCGATCACGCGAGTCCCTATAACAGGTCAGTCTGGCGGAAATGGTTCCAAAAGGCAATATCAACTTACACTGTGAAGCAGTCGTACATGAAGGCGAGAGCTGCTGGTGTGATGTTCATGGAAACATCTTCGGGAATCGGAGGGGCTTGACTCAAACTACCCAGCTTGAAGATCGCACCGATAGCCTCTTCCTTGCTCCACGGTCGGCGTCCTGCAAACATCTCCAACACCACGCATCCCAGAGACCAGATGTCTACCTTGGCGCTGTACCCTTGTCCTTGGGATTGGATGACTTCTGGCGCCATCCAGAAGACCGAGCCTTGCATGGAGTTGGTCGAATCGTTTCCATAGATGTTGTCTGTTTTCTTCGAAATTCCGAAATCAGAGATCTTGCACGTTCCGTCCAGATCCAGGAGGATATTGTCGGCTTTCAGGTCACGATGGAGAATTCCCTGGTTGTGAAGATATGCCAGCCCGCTCAGAGTCTGATGCGTAAGAGACTTCACCACGCTCTCCTCAAACTTGCCATGCTTGCGAAGACAACTGCCGATAGAGCCACCAGAGATATATTCGAGGTAGATTGAGATGGAGAACTCGCCTCGTTCACAACCGAGGTACTGCACGATGTTAGGGTGCTCGAGATGTTGCATGGTATCAATTTCCTGGTCCATCGCTGCGACCATCTCCTTGATGCGGTCCTTGTCTGTTCCGGCAATCCGAGGATTGACCTCCACTTGCTTCACAGCCAAGACCTCACCATTGTCAGCGTTCATGCCTAGGTATACCCGTCCATAAGTGCCCTTGCCGATCAGCTGACCACGGATGATGCGGAAAGTGGGCTGTCTCTGAGGAATATTACCAGACGGCGCATGATTCTGTGGAATAGGGTCCAGCTGGCTAAGACGGCTGCCACGCTTCGGGCTGATTTGCATAATCTTGGCGCCGAACATCTTCGTGCTCTTGCGGCGCAAAATATCACCTGATCTTTGGTTTCCAGTATGAGACGTCACACTCCGATTCCTACTAGCTTGGTTGGCACCTTTTGCCACTTCTCGGATAGACTTCATTCGTGTTAGCCCACCGCCAGAGCGACTGACGTTCCGCCGAGCGACGACTCCGGGGTCCTGAGGCTTCATGGTGGGCTCACTAGAGCCGAGGGTGTTCTCACTTGGGGGCGCAGGTGTATGTGGGGTGGGATGTGATACGGCATCTGGTTTATCCTTGGGGATTATGTCGTTCTCAGCTGCAACCTTAGAGGCCGGGGATGAGGGAGGTGACATGCCCTGCCCGTCAAGGTAAGGGGTATCAAGGTCGATGTCCGGGAAGAAGTCATCGAGGTGATCAATGACGCCCTCGACTGGAGGTCTGCTTGCCCACAGGTCGCCTTGGGCAAAAGAATCCCTGCGAGGTGGCTTCTCTTCCTCCGGCGACGCACTCATGTCAAGGAAGGACGGGTTCCTGTTGCCAGACTCCCCGCTTGAACTGGCGAACGTTTCGCGGGTAGCACTAGGTGACCTGAAGCTGACGGATAACCCTTTTCGTAATCTGTTTTCGGTGTTCAGCGTGAGGGACGGTTTCCCGGCTCGCCTTTGGGACTCTGGCGAGACGTTCATAGGCGGGTTCTCTTTAACCGGGGTTTTGGTACTCGCTATGGGAATAGCGAAGAGTCCATCATCGGAATCATCATCAGAGTCCTCTTGGGGCTGCTGTGGCACCGGTGACCCTTGGAAAGAGACCTTGGTCTCCTCAAAGTCAAACTCGGGTCCAAATGACTTGCGAGACTGCAGAGGCGGTTTCGGTTCTTGAGGAGTCGCAGAACCGGGTTGTGCCGGAGACTGACTCGAATGCACTGTCGGCGTTGTTTGGTTATCCTGCTCCGTAGACGATTGCGATGGCCCTCTGAGCTCCTGACTAGCGGCAGGTGGCGTAGGGACCGATGGAGATGGGGTTCCAATGGCGCTGGTCATCCTACCAACACTGGCCAATACTGCTCCTAGACCGTGAGTACCATGTGGTTGCGCGGTAGTCTGTATGCGGGGCCGCTCAATATCCTTCTTCCTTAGTGAATTGACTTTGGTGAGTGTGCTTGACTCGTGAGGCGCAGTAGGAGGCTTGCGAAGTGGCACAAGTGGCTCAGACTTCTTGTCTTCGTAGGGAGACGTGCGGGGCTGATCAAAATCAATGACGCCTTCACGCCGGTAACCAGTTTCACCATAAACATCCTTTCTCGGTTGTGGCATGGGTGGGACCTTTGAGATGCGGTAGGCCCTCTGCTTCCGCTCAACCTCACGCATATGTTCTTCGTGACGAGCTAACAGGTCTGCTTTCTCGGCATCAGTAGGCAGTCCGGCTTCGGCGCCACCGTCGACTGGAGACGTTGTAATTGATGGTTGCGAGGCCGGTAGCTTAGCACTGGGAGCCTTGAGCTGCTGTCGGGAAGACACCTGAGGAGACGTAGGCTTGGCCGGGTTGTGAGGAGATATCCTGCTGAGAGCTTCCTCGTCAAGCGGCTTTCTGTGCACATGGTGTGCAGATGTGGGCGAGGCTGTGCCCTTCTCTGGGATTGACAGCCCCAGGCCGTAGTGAGTGGAGCTATTCACACCCAGTTGCATATGAGGCCCTCGTACAAACAGCTTCAATGAGCCAACCGTGTCTGACTTTGTCCGTCGACACAACGCCAGGCTAGTGTCATTCAAAGGCTCATCGTGTTCAGTCTGCCCGGGCTCCGTCATGAAGATCTGCGCCCCAGTCCAATCAGCGATTCCAAGGCTTTGACATATGGCAGAACGTAGGGTCTCCACGGAGTCCATCTCAGTTATGTCGACTAAGCGATAGTTCCATCCGTCCAGAGTCACAAATGTCCACTTCTTGCTCTTTTGCATTGGCTTGGTGCCTCGCAACGCCAATCGTTCATGATCCGACATGGATGAAGATGACGGCCGCTCGCCCAACGACAACTCACTGGTACTGAAATTTGGCCTATTATAAGGCAGCTGTGAGCTGTTCTGGCGCATGTTGACTGGGCTGGTGGGAGACTCCAAAAACGGCTCCTCTGGGGACGGGTGGTTGGAATCGCCTGCCTTGGAACGTTTCTTGAAGAACCCTAAAAGCCCATTACGGTGGTCTTTAGGGTACGAGGACGGTGTCTCCCCACCAGAATGGCGATTGCTTGACTCCTGCGGCGAAGGACGGATCCCGCCGTCTTGCTTGATGGATTCATAATACCGGCGACCAGTGGTCGAATCTGAACTGTTGCCGCGCGAGTGCTCGAACTTAACACCGAGATCTCCCGTGGATGACGAGGGTCCTGTATGTGCCAAAGTAGCATGCTGCGCCGCTGGGCTCCCGCTCTTGGGACTGTCCTCGTAGGATCTAATAGGTATCTGGAATGTCCCGCCATCACTGGACATAGAAGGGCTCTGCCTGTGATGCTCACCACCGATGCTAGATAAAACAGCTCGCGAATAGTCCGATCGGGACCACATTGTATTAGCTTCGCTTGTAGCAAGCTCGGAAGACGCATGATCATGAGTTGTCGGTATGGGGGTTGTGAAAGAACACATCTGAACGCTCTGTCTTTGTCCATATGCAGGCTGGGGGGCCTTGAGATTAGGGCTGTTTGTGATGTTCCCTGAAGCAGGACCCGCGGACCTTGGCTCGTAAGTCAATTTCGGCGAAGCGTCAGGCGCGCCATCGTGGGCGCTCATAGGGTGAGAATCGCGTCGCTTCTGAATCGAGATCTCGGTATCATAACTGCCGTCATCATGGATTTTCTTAATCAACCGGCGCATGCGTTTTCCCTCTTCCCGTTCACGAATCTGATCCCAGGGAGTGCCACTTGCTTCGCACACTTTTGCAAGATGAGGATAGACCACCTGGTGCATCTTGCCCAGATTAGGCCGGCCATTTGACCCATGTCCTAGCTCGAGGAAGTCGGCCCCTTGAATTTCCAAGGACCTGAAGGTTTCTTGCCAGTCTGTAGAGAATCCATTATTCGCAAGCCACTGCAGGACACGATCGAGAGGCCACTGGACCGAGGCCTCATTTGGCGACATGCCACCAAGCAATGTACTGTGATTATGGCGATGACTGCCTGATGTGGTGAGTTCGGAAGACGGCGCAGACACCTGTTGTAGCGAGTTTTGCACGTTCGTGGCGGCGTAGCTGGCTGAAGCCATATCATGAGCACCATCATGGACAGCTAGAGAGGAAGGTAGATTGCGAGTAGTAGAAGGAGTGGCAGGGACATTGGCATCCCGCTTATACGGAGAAGAGTCGGTGGCTGAATATTCGTAGGCTTGAGTGGAGGGGTTCCGTTGTCTGTCGCTGGACTGCATTGTCCCCGCACCGTCGTACGTGTTCGAGTGTACGTCGAATGGCGGGATCCCGACCCCCGGCCCGAAAGTGCCAGCTTGAGGAACGTAAGTTGCAGACGTCCGAGTTTCCGCGGAGGGAATCGACAAAGCTGCAGGACGCCCGTATGGAGATTGATTCGCAGGCACCATGGGGGGAGGCGGAGGAGGTGGAAGATACCCTTGTGAGAGTGCTTGTCTTGCCCAGCTCTGTTGCTGCCACCCGAGTGTATTCTGATGTTGCAATTGGGGATTGGTAAGTTTGGAGGCGCCATAAGCTGTCCCTGGAGGTAGTCCCGGGGGCGGGGGAAGCATAACACCCGTCGACTGAGTAGGAGGGTACCGAGGCGGCGGCGGTGGTAAAGGGATTATGTGCGATTGGGAGGGCTGCGTCGCCGACGAAGGCGGGGGTACGGGGATGTACTGCTGCGGGCGTTGACCGTCCATATTGGCGGCGATGTCTGCGACGTCTCCAATGGATTGATGCAAGGAGGCGTATGTCTGAGCCTAACGAGCAGACAAGTTGTCCTGGGAGCCCAATAAGGTTCTGCTCTCATATACCTCACGGGGCTGCGCAATCAAACTTGTCCCTGAAGTGGGGACTGATAGACCATGAAAGCTTAGGACCCAAGGCAATCCCACATTGTCAGAGCTAGAACAGCCGGCACGACGCGATAGATGATGCCCTTCGTTCCGAGCAGCACTTTGGGCGGTAGTTTCAGCGACCAGGATGAAGAGCAGGCAATCGGCTGTTCTCGAAGCACGTCAATCAAGCGCAGATAGCGTCCAGATCGGAGCGGACGCCAGTACGTAAGCAGGAGCGGAGGGAGCAAAGGGACGGCATCAGCTTTTTCCACCTGAACGGGGAATGGACGGGGTGTGCAGAGGAGGCTGGAAACCGGAGAGGTCACACGCAAGTCGAGCTGCAGACGCAAACCGTAGCGAAAGGAATAAGTTGGGCGTTCTTCAGAGGGGTGTCAAATCCTTAAAGATAGCTGGATCTCCTAAAGTAAGTCAAATGTCCGGGCAAATTGCGGCAATCACCCCCTAATAGTCGGGACCAGTCCAGTTCCTCTCTAGCTAACTAGTAAACTAGTCGAAGGGGAGGGGGGAGGGGGGAAATGATGCGGCGGAAGGCTCAACGGGGAAGCTAAGACATACCATTAGCAAAACCGCTGGGGATTCGACCGCACAGTGGATTAGTGGCAGGTGGCGGCAAATTAGCAGTCCACCGTATAGATTAATTAGGTGTTTCGTCAAGGAAGGGGACAGAGGCCTGCTCGCCAGACTTCATATGGGGTACGGAGTACTCGAGTAATAATCTAACCTGTCGCCGAGTCGTCGCGGCCCGCCCAGGGAAATCAATCCTGAGGAGCTTTGATGCGCTGGCCGCCTTAGCGCCTGGGACTGACTGTCCTTCCCGTCGATCACGTGGTGGTCCCCCGATAAGCAGCCCAAAGCCGGTCCCTTTTTTTCTGTGTCTGTCTCTCCTTTTCCGCCACCTTTCCATGGGCTTCTTAGTACCTAGTCTACCCATCAAGTGAAAGGTGGGCCAAAACATTCGGGAATCCCATCTGACAGTTGCCCCTGTCGTGTTCAGCCCTAGAGGGACAATCACCTCTTCCCCCCTTTCCTACAGGGCTGGTTCTGACTGTAATCATGTCACCAACTACTTTATACAACTTGACATTGCCAATGTGTTTATCTCTCGGCTTGTCATTCCTCCCAAGTGAATGTCTCACACGGCACGTTGGCTGGCTGGCTGACTATCAAGCTAGTTCCACTATGTTTTCCCTTGGCATTGAACAGGTATGATAAGCACTAGACTCCCTAAACGCACCTCCCAAGGTTTCCAAGACCCCCAAACCCCAAATTGCAAATACGGCAAGGGCACGTGCGCATACAACTTGGCTGGAATTCATTAGATTTCGTATTCGGCTTTTCACAAAAATTATTTCAGAGTGAGATGTCTGTTCCTCTCCAGGAGTGACAGGTCAAAGTAGAAGAAAGATAAATACATTAAGGGGAAGAAGCGAGGATGTCTCGAGGCCCGGGTGATCCTTCATTACTTGTTCCTGGTGGCAGCCGCCTCAGCCGTGATTTTCAACGCGGCGGGAGCATCATCACGAGGCATGTGAAGCTCCACCAACTGTGCCGTCTTGGTTAGCACTCTCCTGGACACAGTCGAAACGTCAAGGCAATGAATGTACTACGTACCTGCAAGTATGGCGCAGAAGCAAACTCCTGGTTCGCAAATAGCTGCCTCAGCTCATCCCTTGTCTTCACTTTGTAGCCCTTGTACTTGTCCTTGGCTCCAAAGACTCGGGGCAGACCCTCAATATCCCATGGCTGGATGTCATTGTAGCTTTCGTCCCATCCGTGGATGTACCGCTCAATGGTGTATCCGTTATTGCAGATGACGAAGCTTGCTTTGGTCAGTATCGTTATAGCGTGGAGCTTATCGCCGTTAGGGAACACTCACATGATGGGGTTGAGGTTGTTTCTGATCATGGTGCTCAACTCCTGCACAGTGAGTTGAAGACTTCCGTCACCAACGAAGAGAACGGTCCGACGATTGCCCAATTCCTTCGCTGCTAGTGCAGCACCTTGACACGCCCCAACCGAGTAGCCAATGCTACCCCACAGGACTTGGCTAATGGCCGTGACGTTCGCCGGGAATCGGGTTTCCCAGATGCCAAAGTTGGCAGTCCCAGTCTCGGTGATAACAATGTCATTCTCCTTCAGCCACTGACCCACATTGGGCCAAAGCCAGTCGTGCGTGATCTCCTGGCTGCTGGAAGATTTCTCGCTCTCGGGAAGCGTGTTGGAGAGATGCGGAACTGGCGCGGCGTTGACAGCACCCATCCTCTGAATAACTTTGCGCAAGACTCCCTTCATATTAATCTCTGGATATTCGGAGTATCGCACGCGCACGTAAGTGCTGTGGAAATCGATGGTGTTGAGCTGTCCGATGTGATATGAAAATCCGCTGGTGTTGAAGTCCGACTTGATAGCACCGATGCTCAGAATAAGATCGGAAGACTCGACTTGCTCACGAACACCCGCGTTCGATCCAGTACCAGCATACACACCGCCATAGTTCGGACGGGTCTCATCCACTGCTCCCTTGCCCATCGGAGCCACGAAAGTAGGCAGGCCGGAGGCCTCCATCAAGTCATGAACTTCATCAAGGACCCGATGACGGATGGCACAAGCATCCACCAGAATAACAGGTTTCTTCGCAGCATGCAGGTACTTCAAGACAACGTCCACCACATAATCTTCCTTCTCAGGGTCATTCGCCGGTAGAGAAAGATCCAGCGGTTTGTCGAGGCGGTCACCTTCAATCTGCTTGACAATCATGTCGGTGGGGAGACTGATGTAGACAGGTCGACTGCGAATCCAACATTCACGGATGGCGTTGTCGATAAGTGTTGCAGCCTCCAGTGTCTCGTTAAGGCGACCGAGGGTACAGGAGATGCCTGCACTCATCTTCGCAAACACATTGAAGTCGCCATTTCCCAAGGTGTGGTGCAGCAACATGCCATCCTTCTGAGACTTGGTGTTGGGCTGACCCACAATATGAACAACTGGCACAAATTCGGAGTACGAACCAGCGATGGCATTGAGCGCCGAAAGCTCACCCACACCGAAGGTAGTGATCAGGGCTCCGATTCCATTTACACGAGCATAGCCGTCGGCAGCGTATCCTGTAGGTTGTCCGCGTCAGTTATGACAATACTTGTCACCAAGGTAGTACAATTACAACAGTGGATTCGGCTCAAAGCATACCGGCGTTAAGTTCATTGCAATTGCCCACCCAATGGAGACCGCACTTTGGCAGATAGTCCAAGGCCGCGAGATTGTAGTCACCTGGAACGCCATGCACAGAGCGAACGCCAACCTCGTGTAGACGACGGAAGAGGTACTCCGCAACCGTGGTGGGTTTCCGAAGATCCCGGGTAGCGATATCGGTCGCCATCACGATAAATTGAACTGTGTGAGAGAAGATGCGATATGATGAAGCTAGTATGGAATTAGACGAGAGAAGTATTGGTCGTGTCTGAGAGATGATGTTCACAGATGTTGAGGAGAGGAAGAGTATTAATAGGTGCCTCTGACTGTCCCAACCAGGGAGTCTGGAACCCAGCGTGGCCGTACGTCATGAATGAAAGGGCACGCGTGATGTCATGCTGTAGAAGTGGAACTAGAGACAAAAATAGTGTCACCGAACTCAATCCTCACGCAAACAGCTACACCACGCGACGGTGAATGACAGCCGGATCTCCGGGATCATTCCTAGTGAGTAGGTATTGAATGCTTTGCGTGAGATTTCAGGAGATCTCCGACCATGATGGCATGGATTGGGTGGTTCGATCGTATATCCAAGTCAAATAAGCTATGGCGGATCCCTGGAAGTAAAAGGTGCTGCGGAAGCAGCGATAAACTGATAACAGCAGCTGCACTAACAGAAAAAGCAAGCAAGGTCAATCCGGCCGAAACCACATTGCAGCACACAGACTAACAAGTAACAAGCCGTCACTCCACCAAGTGGGATGATGATCGCCCGCTTTGCCGCTATTCCTTTTGTGGAATTTTAAACCCCCCCGCGCCATGCCTGGCCTTATCTGTTGGGAACCCTCGTGTCACCAGTAGTGCATCTAGAACTTCTAGGACCAGCTTAATCTCACCACTAAGCTTGAATTTTCCCTGTCAACTCGGACAACCGGGCAACGTGCGTGCACCTCCTGCGGTCAAATCCCCCTCCCCACTTGCACACGCACAAATCCCGTACCGGCATCCATCCCCATTCACCCACGCATTAACATCTGTCGATGGCTGGATCAGGGAAGAGAGCCATGCCTGATAGGAAATCCGTTCAGCCTGCTAAGAAGAGAAAGGTCCGCCCCATCTGATGTCCGTGGCATGTTGACCACAGACGTCTCACCATTGGCTTTTCCGCATCTGGTAATCAATGTCTAACGCGTGGCGGCACAGGGAGGTGGCCAATGGCAGAAACACCAACAAGGCAATAAGTCGGGCATTGAGGGAGGCGACTGGGGAGTCTTCGTGTCGTGCGATCTGGGAAAGGAAGGGAAATGTATGGCAGAGGTAGTGGATGTTTTCTCGCAGGTTAGTAGCATGAAGGACAGGGCTTTGTGAATAGAAGGCGACCCACGGTATCTGGCAGATTGATGCGATCTGATATGCTCATCCATCTGACTTGTGTTATTTCCCAGAGTGTGGAATCATCCAGCAGTGACAGTCATGGAGGCAAGCTCGACTCGGATGAGGAGGATGACGATGATGACATCGAGGCCCAAATCAGAAGAGAGGTCGAAGGCCTGAAGCCCAGCGCGAGCAAGTCCCGCCCGTTTCATGCCATCAGAATGGATTTGCCATGTCGTGCGTTAACCCTCGTTCTCCTCCTTAGATTGATCTAGGTTTTGAGAGACGCTAATATACTTCAGTGTTGTTTGTGCGATTTGACAAATCCATCAATCCAGAGGAAATGGTACATCAGCTTTGCTTAGACGCAGCTGCTAATCCTGAAAAGAAACGATCCCGATGGATCCAACGCATGACACCTGCAATTTCCGTTCGCAAAACTCTCAGTGTCGACCTGGAGTCTTTTGCACGGGAAATACTCAAACCGCATTTCCATTCCGGGGGACCTCCCAAAAAGGTGAGTCTCGGTCTCACCGTAAGGCTTAGATGGTCATGAACTCCCATTAACCAGAAAATTTCAGTACGCAATTCGACCTGTGGTGAGAAGCAACAAGAAGTTCAACCGCGACATTGTCATCAAGACCGTTGCAGATGTCGTGGGGCCCGAACATCCCGTTGATCTCAAGAACTATGACTTGATCATTCTCGTCACCGTTATCCAGGTCAGTTTTCTACGGACGTAGTGTGGTGTTTAAGTCGCTCATACAAGTACCGTAACTGACAATAAATTATCAGAATGTCATTGGCATGAGTGTTGCCGGAAGTGACTATGATCGGTTAAAGAAGTATAACCTGGCCGAGTTATACAGTCCAGCACCTACGTCAGAGGCCGCCGAATCTACTAAGGACTAACCTCGCATTCTCCCTGACTGACTTTTGGGCGACATTTGGCGTCGGGAAAAATCTTGAAAAATGGCGGAATTGTGATCGCCTCATCAGCTCCATGACAGACAAAAGCTAGAAAAATGTATATACAGAGTTCGCGATATCCTAACCACCGACACGGCCTCTCTTAGTTCTAAATGATCCCCTCTATGAGCCACATGAACTTTAGAGCCGACGCATGATACGTGGCTACCAGCAAATTAGTTCAAAGTGGTGTAATTTAGAGATAAGAGGCCATGGCAAAGGGAGGCATAATTTATTGAATCCCCGCTCGAAGGACGGTCCGTCTGCCAATAGCTTGATTGGAGGGCGAACAGAACAGGGATGTGCCGAAAGTTACCCAGGCAGCACAAAATACATTAGGTAGCACAAGTCTCCTACCTTCCGCGATCACTGTGCGAAAGGGTAAATGGGATAGCAGACCTACAATTTCATCGTAGTAGCAGTGATTACTTATTAATCTACTATATGCACAGACTATGAGTAGATTCGTAGTTCGCTGCAATATCGGCATTCGTACCGGCCGATACAACCGGGGGAGGTTTGCACTTTCGGCAAGGCCAGCCTGTGATTGGCCCGGTGTGGATGCTCCCTGCATGGCGCCTTTCTCAGAGCGGGAGCCTTAGGCGAGCTGCGTCTCCATGGATCACGACCCTTTCTTCACTTCCTGGCCAATACTCCAATGGATGCTTCTTGGGGTCTTCTTTCTCCAATTTCAACAGTGGGGATCCCGGACGGATGTCCCCTTCAGTAAGGGGCTTCGGATATGGAGCTTCCGCTTCGCTTAATGTTTTCAAATAAGGGATATGCTCCATGTCCTCGTTACGGGCTTCCCCCATCATCTGACGCTCAGAAACGAGATAGATCGACCGGTTTCCCTGTTCCTAGTATTCCTTAGCTGTGTTGCTTTGACGGTTAGACAATCTATTACCTTCCTTGTTCGATTGCAGTAACCTGCGTCTTACCTCTGTTCCATGTCCGGGTCCCGTTGTATCCCCGGGTTGCGGCTGCCTGGCTTTTCTCCCCGATGGCTGCAGTAAAGATTTGCTCGCTCATGTTATATTTGCTTACCTCCCCCTCCCCCCCAGCGCTATGGATCATCATAACTATATCTAGTACTAGTAGCGAGCATGCGAGCGCTGAGGCAACATAACTGAAGTGTTGCGCGAAATGTCGCCTTCTTTATCACCGATCTTAATCCCTGACATTGAACCTTCTTATACTCTCGGCTCCATCCTTCAACGCCACTTTTCTTCTTCGGTACAGGTCAAAGGAATCTATCCGCTCAAGGGCCACCTACATTCAATTAGTCGCCTCGTACTGTCGAACGGGGTCCACCTGCTTCTGAAGTGCTCTCCAGGGCCGACAACGCCTCTCTTACGGCGAGAACAGCTGCTACTTGAAACTGAAGCCCGTGCCCACTCCATCCTAGAACAACAGGAAACCCCATACATCCCGTCATTCCTGCATTATGGTCTCCACGGGGGACCGCTGGGCTCTGCCTTCTTAGTAAGACACTATATCAATGGGGCGACAATGCAGGAGCTGGAATCCGCGCTTACCATGCAAGAGCGGGATGATCTCAACCGGGCTCTGGGGTCTTTAGCTCGTGAGATCGGACAGAATTTCTCCAGCTCCTTTGGGTCACTAGACCAGGTAGCCTGTGGATCAGGGAAGCAGTCCTGGCGAGAAGCGTTTGTGACGCTTCTAGAAGGCATTCTCCGGGACTCCGAAGACGCTTTTGTTCATCTTCCATATGCGGAGATTCGAAACCAAGTTCGTCGGCTGTCCCCTGCGCTCGAGGAAATTACGTCACCGCAACTAGTGATTGTTGGGTTAGGCCGGCCGTCGCAGGTGGTGCTGAATCCGGGGTCGAAGAAGCTTGCAGGGCTCTTAGGGCTAGAGAACACTCTCTGGGGCGATGTGCATATGGCAGAGATCTTTGAGGCGCCGTCTCCGGCTGTGTTGGAGGGCTTTGGTACTCGACCGAAGACAAATAAGGCCCAGGTGGCCCGACAACTACTGTATGCAATCTCTGGATGAGACTGAAAATGGTGGGAGAGTCTATGAGCTGACTGTCGGTCCCTTAGGTATGCCTGCTATCGTGCTGTGCACCAGGTTACGATACACTACTACCGCGATCAGGGGATGGCTGCAGAGATCGATGCTAGGAGACGTCTAACGTCAGTCTTAGCTGAGATGGCCTCCGTAGACGGAGTCTGCACGTTGTGTTGAAATGGGATGTCCAGGGACATCTCTGGAAGATTATATAGATGGGAACAATGACTCGGATTTAGTTAGTTCAGTCGGCCGGACCGATCTGCAGTTAGACTTCAGATGGAAGTCTCAAGAATGGGAAAGGTTCCTTAGTGCTACACAGCAGTGTTCGACCATGAGCTACATGATGAATATGAATATGATCGGTTTCGGAGAAATCATATGAAAACAAAAGCCAATAGTCCAATGCAAGATTCGGTCATGTCGGCATGGAAGCTGTCTTGGCGATGATTTGTTGCTGCCTACGAAGATTGGCGAGGTTCTCCTTGGAAGTTGATTTCCACCCATGTAAGAGATCTGGTTCCTGAGAAAATACGAACTCATTCCGTGCTGGAATGTATACGGAGAGCCCCGTTTTGAGATAGCAATGTAGAGAGAGCCCTATTAAGAATCATTTATGATAGATAGACTGATCATCTTCGTAATCTTCAACAAGCGCGAGCCAGCAAGGGATCCCCATTAAATCCAGCGGTCGGGCGGGGCAAGACACACTAAGCTGAACTAGTCACAAGTCACCTTCAAAGGTCAGCCTTAATGGCGTCAACCGTCTGGAGGATTTCCGCGGTTGTCATGAAACACCACTTCTTCGACTTGCTCCTCTACCGCGGGGGGTCGTTGCAGCCTTATTCTTAGCTTCATTGCTTGACTTAACAATCTCTTATCTACTTGATTTCTAGCGCCTTCTCTCTCTCTTCCTTTTTTCTCAACTTTCCTCTACTCTCCGACCTTATCCCTTCAGTTCCGTGTCCGCCAGAATGGCGCATTTTCTGCGGGGAAAGCAAGCCGGCATCCAAAAGGACTTCTCCGAGAACTTGTCGCCGGACCTGTTCGCCCTTGATGATGTATATCTCTCAGCAAATCCTCTTCTTCCTTCTCTCAAGCTCATATCACGCACTGACATATACTAATTTCCTGCTGTTGCTGCTTATAGTTCGCTCGATGCGGTATAAACTCCCAGATCAGTGCGATCGCGTACGATCCCGTCCAGTCGCTCCTCGCCGTCGGAACAAGCGACACGCAATTCGGCCATGGTCAGATTTACGTCTTCGGTCAACGGCGAGTAGCGGTGGTGTTCGCGCTCCCGCGGAAGGCGTCTGCCAAATTCATACAATTCTGCGCCGACAAGCTCGTCAGTGTCGACTCGAAAAGTGAAATCAGCATTTTCTCCTTAGAAACTAGACAAACGCTTGTCTCGTATGCTCCGCCGAGTCATGCGAGCGCTTTACTGACCGATCCGAGTCTCGATTATGCTTTCATTGGGTTACAAAATGGTATGGGGTATATTGGATCGTGACGTCTTTTTTCGTGCTGACGAGGCGTCTCAACTAGGTGATATCATTGCCTACGATCTGGATCGTGAAACCTTGACGCCATTCCGTGTACCTAATCTGTGGGCTCAGCGCAATCCCCGCGTCCGCCTTTGTCCTGTTCTCAGTCTCTCTTTCTCGCCTCGGGATATTGGGAAGATCTTGGTTGGGTATCCGGAAGGTGCTGTGACGTTCTCGTTCAAGCAGAATGTTGCTCAAAAGTATTTCGAATATGAGGTCCCACCAGGTGCTTTGGGAGGAAATGGAGATGTTCCGGCGTCGGAAATGCGCAGGCCTCGACTGACTAGGGCCCTCTGGCACCCAAACGGTATCTTCGTGCTGACTGTGCATGATGATAATAGCTTGGTTTTCTGGGACTCGAAGGACGGCCGCAAAATCATGGCCAGATCTATCAATACCCCCAACATTGACCAGCCGGGCGTAAGCCCCGAACGACCCCAGTCGGCTACCGGGCTCAAGGACCCAATTACAAACGTCGCGTGGTGTGTCAAAGACAACGGTGATGACAGTGGGCTCTTGATCGCTGGCGGTCGACCGAAAGCTGAAGCCAACAAAGGACTGACTTTCATCGACCTGGGACCGTCTCCTAATTATCAGACTTCTTCGTGGGCAATGATCGCAAAGTACTTCGAGACCCCGAAACGCACCGCACTCCTACCTACTCCTCCCGGTGCGGAAGTGGTCGACTTCTGCCCCATCCCGCGTAGCACCCCTTACTATGGCGGCGCTCATGATCCTATCGCATTACTCGCTCTCTTGTCCTCGGGAGAAGTCATCACGATGAGCTTCCCCAGTGGTCATCCCATCACTCCGACAAACATGCTCCATCCTTACCTTAGTTTCGTGCATCCGTTCGTGAACAAGGTTACTCTGACGTCAGTCGATCGTTCGGCGTGGCTGGGCCTGAAGGAGAAACGATCACAGGGGCCTAAGTTTTTACTCGGAGGAGCGGAGATAAGGAAACCGTTGAAGCGCTTCGAAGATCGCAACGTTCTTACGACGGCTCATGCTGATGGCACTATCCGCATCTGGGATGCTGGCATTGATGATGAGATCGAGAATGGGGACGTCGTCCAAGTGGACTTGGCCCGAGCTGTTGGCCGGGTTGGGAACGTAGAGGTGACCGAGATGTCTTTTGGAGGCTCAACGGGCGAGCTCTCAGTCGGTTTGCGGACCGGCGAGCTCGTCGTCTTTCGATGGGGAAACAACCAGAGCTTTGGTCGTGAAGAGCCCCCAGGTGCCAATGAAGGCCCTGGAACATTGACCAAGATCACTCACAGAGTCGACCCTGGTTTGAAGACAGGTATCCTCCCACTGACACTCCTAAACATGCAGCAAGGCCCAGTGACTGCCTTGAAGCACAGTCAAGTGGGCTTTGTGGCTGTTGGATTTGAAGGAGGCAGTCTAGCAATCCTGGATTTGCGCGGGCCCGCAATCATCCACACAGCCCACTTCTCGGAATTGTTCAAGGCGAACAAGCGAGGCAGTATCTTCAATAAGCGCAGCTCCGAGAGCCCTGCTCCTGAATGGCCTACCAGCATCGAGTTTGGTGTGCTGACTCTTGAGGGTGAAGGTGAGGATACTAAACTAAGTGTTGCGGATTATACTAACAGCTCGCAGATTATTCCAGTATCTGCTGCTTTGTGGGTACCAACAGGGGTAACCTGGCCACATTCAAAATCCTGCCCTCGGAGGGTGGACGGTACGTGGCTCAGTTTGTCGGCACAAGCTTGCTGGATGACAAGGTTATCAACATCATCCCCATCAATGCAGACGATGGCGGGCTTGCCTTGGCCACCCCCAACGCTGTTGGGGGCTTGAGAAACGGAGTGCGTGTGAATGGTGCCGTCGTCGCGGTGACTGTTTCCGGGTGCAGGATCTTTAAACCAGCAACTTCCAAGGGTGCTCATAGGTCCTGGGATGACTACCTTTGCGATTCCGCAGCGGTTGTCAAGACCGAGGCTCGCGGCTACAGTCTTGTCGGGCTTTTCGGAGACGGATACACGCGAGCATTCTCCATCCCTGGTCTGAAAGAGATTGGCGCAAGTCCAATCAATCAAATAGCTGATATGAGACGCCTGTCGGATGCCACGATCTCCTCCAATGGGACCGTCATGGTCTGGACCAGTCCTTCTGAAGTGGGCTTATTCAGTGTATGGGGAGGAGGACACGGACTGTACGCAGCACCTATCATCTTAAATATAGACGTGAGTACTAACAGACTATATAGACGCCAGTCCGAAGACCAGCTCTACAACCCGCAAGTCGTTATGCCCCCACGACCTACGATCACCAACATTCAGTGGATCTCAGGAACGCAATACGTTTCCCCAGCCGACATGGACATCCTCAGTTCGTTACACTCCCCTACTGGCCTACAATCAGCAGCTAACTTCTATAACAGTCGGCGGCCCTGATCGGCCACCATCCAAGCGTATGCAGGAGCAGATGCGCCTAGAGGAAGAGGAGCGCCGTAAAGCATTCCGCGAAGGCAGAACCCCAACGAACAAGTCGTCGAGTAGCCAGGAAGGGTACTTTTCCTACATGCAACGGCAAGTGCAGGAACGCACCGAGCGGCTCAACTTTGCAGGCGACAGCATGGATCGGCTGGAAGAGAGCAGCAGCAATTTTGCTCGCGATGTGAACAAGTTCGTCAGTAATCAGAAGAGAAAAGCGGTCCTTGGCGGTGAGTTCTCACCCACTCCTTTCAGATAGGGAGTGAACTAATGTGACTATAGCACTCGGCTCGAAGTTCGGCTTCTAGATGCACACCACGGTGACATGAAGTAAAAGAAGAGTGCAGCAGTTACAGCTGAGTACATTAGACTCATTATTATTCCTACCATACCATACCATACCCATGCTTTTATTGGCGTTTTCGCGTGCTGTTTTTTTGTGTTGAATAAAATGCTTTGACCTAATTCTCGGATTCAATCGAGCTTGTTCGGATCTTCAACCAATTCAAGAAACGTAGACTTTCTGCAGAGATCAAACTTTTATCTTTCTGCATGGTAGAAATATTATTATAAGACTTGGAAGTCAAATTCACCGCAACTAAACACCACTGGGAAGAACTCACCCATCCAATCATCATAGTAAAGTCCTAGATAGATAGTCCTATTTGAACACCTCACCCCCCCAATAAGCAAGAATAGATACACATTCATCACCAACCCTCTATTTCCACATAGAGAGCTATAGTAACACTCTCCACATATAACAGGCCACCATTCAAAGGTTAAAAAAAAGAGTGAAAGAAAACTTACGCATCAGCGCAAGGACTTCTTCCCCTATCCCCCCCTTACCAAACCAAGCAACAGAAAGCAGCCCATAGGTAGATAGATGAATACATCTCTTTCCTTGCTTCACCATTCCCATCCTCACCTACTTTTTTTTTGCGTAGATATCGGTCTTCACCGCAGCCCCCTCTGACCCTTCTCAGATGAAATATGAATAGGGATATTGTGTTAATATTGTATTATATAGGATTAGATTAAGGATTGTCACGTTAGTTGATACTATAGAACTAATACCCACTTCATAAGCTCAATAACACATTTTGTATTTAGCCATTGTCATCTTCAAGGGTGAATGTGGACCAGTCTTACTGCGTACGGAGTAGTAATCGTGTGCGAAGTAAGTGGTGAAGTTACACAGCAGAAAACGCGGGAATTAATATCATTCGAATATGCAGTTATGTGTTGTAGATCAATTCCATTGTGTAAGCTAGACTACTTGTTTGGGTTTTGCCCTGTTGGGAACTTGCTTTTTGGCCTTGCGTTGGTTCTTCAGCTAACGTACTCGGTTAGGGATGACATGCAGTTGCCATGGTAGCTTGGGTCTTTTCAGATTGCCCTTGCATTTGATGCGGTGAGGAATGTGGAGGGGTAAGATAGATAGAGAGAGAGAGAGATGAGTTGGAATCAAGTATGTGCATTTTTTCGAATTATGTTTGTTTGGCTGGTCGGTTCTATGTCATAAGCTAAGTACTTGCAAAGATGTGAAGGTGGCGGGGGATATGATAGATGAGAATGTTGTCATGAAACACGTTGCAACCCAGTCGTAAAATCATTCGACGGAATAGAAGATAAAGAAAGGTAGTATAACTTCGGGGCTCTTCATTTGCTTTAGTGCACCATCAACTCGGGCTGTTGTTGATGGGCCGCCGGGTTGTTGTTGCTGGCGCCTCCGGCTGATTCATCCTTCTGCTCGGAATCATCGCCCATTTCGACGTCCTCATCGCCGTCGTCGCCCTCTTCCTCGTCGAGTTCCTCCTCATCTTCGTCACTCTCATCTTCGATGTCCTCAGACTCGGCATCCGAGATATCTTCCTCCTCTTCTTCCTTGGTGGCAGGGCCTTCGGTTCCCTCCATCTCCTGATCTTCGGTCTTAGGCTCCAGCTCGTTGAGCTCCTTGAAGAGGGCTGCTTCGAGCTCTGCTTCCTCTGCACCGTAGGCGGCACTGTCATCTCCCTCCTGGTCGGCTTCGGGCTGATCTGGCGGGTATTCAGCGGGAGCAGATTCCTCCGAGTCCCTAGGCGGTAGTTATTAGTATCGTATGACAAGAAAAACAAATAGATGATACCTACCATTTGATGGCAAACCGGGTTACTCTGGGCTTCTCAGCAAGGATATTCCGACGAATGCGTTCGATGATCGGCCGAGCCGGCGGCTGCTCCATAAGCTCCTCGGAATCGTATTCGTTGTTTACATAGTAACCGACACGAACGAATTCTCTGCCGTCATAGCTGCAAGTGAGGAGAATCACGGTAACTCCCAGGATTTCGGAAGTAGGGATGCGCTTGAGGTCTGGGGGGTCGGCCTCGAAGATGAACTTGTTGACACCAACGGGGATCGGTCCCACCAGCAGGGAGTCGAGTTCCTGGTCATACTCGGAGCTAGAGAAACAGGTGGTTAGCAGATAGATCTGATTTTATCTCGCTTCAGGTCCAACTTACGATGTCGCCGAACCGACGTAGGTGAGCTTCCACTCCAGATCTGGAAACTCGTTAGTGGCGGCCAATTAACGGGAGCGGGGTTCACAGTGTACCTTTCTGCAGCTGTTCAAGACATTCGAAAGTGATCTCAAATTGATAGGGGTCGAGGAAAGAGGCAGGATTATTGACGATTTTCACGCCAAGAAGAGAAACGACCGACATCGCGATGGAGGGGCGGTAGTGGAGGGAATTGCTTTATTGAGTAATATGGAGAGAGGGGGGTGGAAAGAGTGGTTTAGTGAACGAGAAGGATTAGACGTGGAGAAATGTGATGGAGAGAGGAATGAGACGAAGAGGTTGCGGAGATATATAAGAGGTATGAAAAGGGAGGAGGGAGGAGACAAGAGAGAAAAGAAGATCAGACGATCTCTTTGGCAACTGAATGAATGGGGATGCAGCGGCCAGCAGTAATTAAACATGCGGCAGGAAGATCGACGACGCGCCGCGTGTTTCTGCGCCCAAGTTCGCGCCCACCGCCTAGATCACGTGGGCGAACACCGGTCGGGCGACGCAAAGAAAGAAAGAAGCTCTCGAGCGGATGAACTCCATCTTGTCGTCAGTGTCGCTGATCCACCAGCGGCCTCTCGTGTCTATCGCCCGCTCCTATCTTGACGCAGATTCTGTCTCTCCCCTGAACCTTCCCCTCCCTCCTCGTTCATCCCCAGCACCTAACCGCGCGCTTCTTCTCTCATCGTCGTGGGTCCTTCCCCTCTCATGAGTGAATGAATGATTCATCGCTCATTCTGCTGTCTCCCCCCATTCAAGACTTCAATCAGCTAATCAAACTCAATCAGGTTCCTTCGTTGCTTCCCCCCCTCCTCAACTACCAACACTCCTCCTCCCTTAACATATATCCCATAATACCTTTGTCGCATTCAATCACACCCCCCGTCGGTCATGGCTGAAGATGATGCTGAAAAGGCCTTTTTCCAGGCTCAGGCTATGAATGCGGACTCTGGAGACTATAAGACAGTGGAAGAGCAGGGTGCAGATAGTTCAGATTCAGATGACTATGATCCTTCCAAATCACTGCCAGATCAGTATTCTGTTTCCTTGACAGACTCCAACCAACAGGACAATGTGCCTGATCATGATGCTTCTCCTTCCAATTCCAATCCCCCCGAACAAACTACTACTACTACCACAACCACCTCTACTTCCCTGCCTGTTCCCCCTGAATCAGACCCTAGTCAGCCAGCTGGCAATGCCTTCCCTTCTGAGACACCTTCACGAGCTGAGTCCCAGACGTCAGCATCGGGCCTCGCCACTGGGGCCTCGGTTCCGCCCAAGACCAGGACAATTGGGGGCTTTGTGGTCGAGGATGAGGATGAGGATGATGCGGGTGAGGCAGATTATGAGCCACCAGCTGTACTAGGTGTCGAAGACATGAATACTATACCTTCGCAACCCATTTCAGGAAATGCAAATGAAGCTACTTCTACCCCTGATGTATCATTGGATGAAGCTGCGCAGGTGTCTGCCAGCACGAAGAATGCCCCTAATAGTTCTTTCCCTGCTGCTTCTAAAAATGATGTGTCAGTGGCTTCGGGCCAGGAGCTGTACAGCGCAAGTGTCGCCCCGTCGGAACAGGCGCAGGATGGGACCTCTGTCACCCCCGAATCGCCCTCGACCGCCAAGGGTCGCTTGCCTCACGACCGGGTTGGCATCCTGGAAGACCGCATCCAAGAAGACCCCCGTGGTGATATTCCCGCCTGGCTGGAACTGATTAACGAACATAGGAGTCGCAATAGAATTGATAACGCACGCGACGTATATGAGCGCTTTCTGAAGGTTTTCCCTTTTTCTGTAAGTGGCCTCTACTGTATTTCTTGGGAGGCGATCAGATCGACTTACGGTTTCAGGCTGAGCAATGGGTGGCTTACGCGACAATGGAGTCCGAACTGAATGAACTCTTCCGTCTGGAGCAAATATTCAACCGGACTCTGCTGACGATTGCGGACGTGCAACTCTGGACCGTGTACCTAGACTACGTTCGTCGCCGGAATCCCCTCACCACCGACACAAATGGTCAAGCGAGACGAATCATTTCATCGGCCTATGAACTGGCGCTGCAGCACATCGGTATCGACAAGGATTCGGGGTCGATCTGGTCCGACTACGTCCAATTCATCCGCTCTGGCCCAGGAAACGTTGGGGGCTCTGGATGGCAGGACCAACAAAAGATGGACCTGCTTCGGAAAGCCTATCAACGGGCCATTGGGGTACCCACGCAGGCTGTCAATACTCTCTGGAAAGAGTATGACCAGTTTGAGATGGGCCTGAACAAGCTGACAGTAAGAATCTAACAAATTGTTCCTTGGAATTCTTACTCTAATCATAATTCTTCTTCAAACAGGGCCGCAAGTTTCTACAGGAGCAGTCTCCGGCGTATATGACCGCCCGCAGCTCCTTCACTGAATTGCAGAACATCACTAGGGATCTCAATCGGACAACGCTGCCGAGGTTACCTCCCGTTCCAGGTTCGGACGGCGATATCGAGTTCCTGCAACAGGTCGAGATCTGGAAGCGCTGGATCAGTTGGGAGAAGGGCGACCCGCTTGTCTTGAAGGAGGAAGACATGAGCGTTTTCCGGACGCGTGTGGTTTATGTCTACAAGCAAGCACTTATGGCACTAAGATTCCTGCCCGAGTTGTGGTTTGAAGCTGCTGAGTTCTGTTTCCACAACGACATGGAGACCGAAGGGAATGAGTTCTTGAAGCACGGAATCGACGGCAATCCAGAAAGCTGCTTGCTTGCATTCAAGCGTGCGGACTGGCTGGAAATTAACTCTGATTCGGAGCAGGACCCCGTCAAGCGTGGCGCTAAAGTCAGAGAACCCTATGACCGACTCTTGGATTCACTCTACGATTTGATCGCCAAAGCCCGGACTCGGGAGCAGCAAGATGTTGCTCATCTCGAAGAGACTTTCGCAAAGATGAATCCCGAGAAACAACCGACAAAGAACGAGGATGACGATGACGATCAGAGTGAGGCGAAGGCGAGAGAGTCCGTCAAGAACGCACAGATTGACGCGGTCCGACAAGCACATGCCATACAGATTGGTATTCTTTCCAAGACGATATCCTTTGCCTGGATAGCTCTTATGCGTGCCATGCGCCGCATCCAAGGTAAAGGCAAGCCTGGGGAGATGCCCGGCTCGAGACAGATTTTTGCGGATGCGCGCAAGCGGGGTCGCATTACCAGTGATGTCTACATTGCCAGTGCTCTCATCGAGTACCATTGCTACAAAGACCCCGCTGCGACGAAGATCTTCGAGCGTGGTGCGAAACTGTTCCCTGAGGACGAAAACTTTGCGCTGGAATACTTGAAGCATCTCATCGACATTAACGACGTTATCAGTAAGTTCATGTTGATGGCTAAAATTCTACGGATCCCATACTGACAGTCTCCAGATGCACGAGCTGTATTCGAGATGACGGTCAGGAAGCTTGCTTCTAATCCCGAGAACGTCCAGAAGACGAAGCCTATCTTTGCCTTCCTCCACGAATACGAGTCGCGGTACGGTGATCTTGTCCAAGTGATCAATCTTGAAAACCGCATGCGCGAATTGTTCCCAGAGGATCCCACTCTGGAGCAATTTGCACACCGATACTCGACCCCTGGCTTCGATCCTACCGCTGTGCGACCCATCATCTCTCCCTCTCAGACACGGCCGAAGATGGCATACCCGGCCGAGCAAGCCATGTCCCGTCATGCCACGCCTACTGCGCGGTATCAGGACGCGTCTGCGACAGACTCGCCCAAACGCCAGCTAGATGACTTCGATGACGACATGGCTCGGCCGCGCAAGTTCGTACGTGCCGAGTCGCCCCTCAAGACGACGCAGCGACGCCAGCTGGACCAGAAGCGCACACAACAGACCATGGGTGGGCCATCCGGGAGCCAGTTCCGGTCGCAAGGATCACCGGCACCTCTGCCGCGCGACATTGTTTACCTTCTCAGCATCATACCTTCTGCCTCGGCATACAACGCGGGGAAGTTCTCTCCGGAAAGGATGGTCGATCTGATTCGGAGGATCGATATGCCCAGTTCGATCTCCCAGATCCCGCTTCCACGGGGGCTGGGGGCTGGACAGACACCACAGTCATTTCCAGGTATGTACACCAAAGCTACAAAATTTAGTTGGGCAGGTGACTGATTCTAGGGCAGGCATCTACCGTTCATGATCTGTCAATGATATAGACCCTCCGTCATGCAGCTCTTTAAGCGCAAATAGTCATGTTAACCTGGCGCTGTATCTGTTATTATTTGTTTTTCTCCGCCGGTTTCGACCGCCGGTACCACCGCGGCGTGGTACTGGAGTGTATAGTTGTTGGATGTCGCTTGCATTTGATGAACCGGCGTTTTACCTTGGGTTACAATCACGGATGAGTTTGGGCAGCTGGGCCTTGAGTGAACCATCATTATTCGAATTTGGGAGGGATTTGTACAGGTTTAGTGCCATTTTCACATGGCATGAGTTGCAGTCGACAGTTCCTTTGACGTATAATTCCAGCAGGGTGAATGCAGCATTATATTGTCCACCAATGTATCCTTGTTCAGATAATTTCTTTCGAAGTAAATACAACCCTGTAGTTGAAGCATTCTGATTGGTCCGATCTCAAATACAGTCTATCCCCAATTAAGTTAGCGTAAGTCCGTCACCGCTCAGCGCGGACTTCTTTTTCTGCCGCGAAATTTGGAAGAAAATCGAAGCGCATCAGATCTTCATCCAGTTTCCACCCCAATCATGGCGCCCTCCAGCTCTCCAGAACCTGTTGTGGACGAATCCCACGAGTCCTCTGACTCGGAGGTCGAGCAGACCGAACTGCAATCCCGCGCCCCCAAGAGAAGACGTCTCTCGGAGTCTTCCACCGACTCCTACGTTGCTCCGGCGCCGCTCCCCACACTCTCCCGTATCAAGAAGAAGGGCGCAGATGAAGAGAATAAGCCCGCCACATCGGATAAAGACGAGCCTGTCCTGATCAAGGATGCTCTGGAGATTGGTCTCAATGATGCGCAGAACTCATTCGCCTCTCTCAACGTGGCGCCGTGGTTGATCGGCTCCCTAACCACCATGGCTGTTCGCAAACCAACCGCCATTCAAAAAGCGTGTATTCCTGAGATCCTAAACGGCCGGGACTGCATTGGTGGAAGCCGGACTGGTTCCGGTAAGACCATTGCCTTCTCAGTGCCCATGCTGCAGAAATGGGCGGAGGATCCATTCGGTATCTTCGGCCTTGTCCTCACTCCAACTCGGTAAGAACCTATCCCCCACTCCCAATGCCCATCATTCATCATCTAATCCGATGTGCCTAGTGAACTTGCCCTCCAAATCTACGAACAAATCAAAGCCATCTCCGCCCCCCAAAGCATGAAACCCCTCCTCATCACCGGCGGCACCGACATGCGCCCACAAGCCGTGGCCCTCGCACAACGCCCACACGTCGTGATCGCCACGCCCGGCCGTCTCGCCGACCACATCAACACCTCCGGCTCCGACACCATCCGCGGCCTGAAGCGCGTCCGCATGGTCGTTCTCGACGAAGCAGACCGGCTCCTCGCCCCAGGACACGGCAGCATGCTCCCGGACGTGGAAACCTGCCTCTCAGCTCTCCCACCCTCCAGCGAGCGCCAAACCCTCCTCTTCACAGCAACCCTAACACCGGAAGTGCGCGCGCTGAAATCCATGCCCCGGCCGTCCACCAAACCCCCCATCTTCGTCACCGAAATCTCCACCGAAAACAACGCCTCTATCCCCCCGACCCTTAAACAAACCTACCTCAAAGTCCCCATGACCCACCGCGAAGCCTTCCTCCACGTCCTCCTCTCCACGGAAGCGAACGCCTCCAAACCAGCCATCATCTTCTGCAACCACACCAAGACGGCGGACTTGCTGGAGCGCATGCTCCGCAGGCTGTCTCACCGCGTTACATCCCTGCATAGTCTGCTGCCGCAGTCGGAGCGCAATGCCAATCTGGCGAGGTTCAGAGCGTCCGCGGCGAGGTTGCTCGTTGCGACGGATGTGGCGTCCCGTGGTTTGGATATTCCGTCGGTGGAGTTGGTGGTCAATTTTGATGTGCCCAGGAATCCGGATGATTATGTGCATCGGGTTGGTCGAACGGCGCGTGCAGGGAGAAAGGGTGAGTCGGTCACGCTTGTTGGGCAACGGGATGTGAGTCTGGTGTTGGCGATTGAGGAGAGGGTGGGTAGGCAGATGGAGGAGTGGAGTGAGGAGGGTGTTAGTGTTGAGGGTAGGGTTGTTAGGACGGGTGTGTTGAAGGAGGTTGGTGAGGCCAAGAGAGAGGCTGCGGGTGAGATTGAGGAGGGGAGAGATGTGTTGGGAAGGAAGAGGAATAAGTTGAAGAAGGTGCGGTAGTTTAAGTTACTTACTACTATGCACATAGAAGTTGTTTGTATATAATGTCGTTTAACTTAGCAATGGCATGTAGATTTGACTTTCATTCCAATGTTGGTATCATATCATTGACTTCCCACTTGAACCCATTGGTGGTGCGATGGGTCCTAAGTAGTCACGTATGTAACGTCTGTCTATCTATCTATGTGTATGTCTTCCACCATCCCATCCACGGCACATACATGCACCCCAGCAATCCCATACTAATACACGCTTCCCCAAAACAAAATGACAGGAAAGCCACCAAGCAAGCAAGCAAGCACAAACTCCACACAAATCCAATTTTGACCAACGAACCCAACCCCAACTCCAATACCATCTATAACCAAAGTCCAAACCAAAAACAAGTTAAACCACTCACGCGACCCCAGCAGTTCCACTAACAACACCCTCTCCCGTTCCCATTAACTTCAACAATCCATCCACTGCATCCCCCTTTTGCGATAACCGGCGTTGTCTCTCTTGTGGCCCTTCTTCTTCTTCTCCACTGCTAGTCTCTGTATTTCTACGCCTCGATACCGTCGCCGGAGGACTACTCAATTGCATTGGGGAGCCGAGGGTATTTGTTCTGCGGTGGGTGTGGGTGTGAAGTGTTGTTGATTTCTGGGTGGGTGTTTTCATGGGGTCATCGTCATCATCGCGTTCTTCTCTTTGTGCGGGTGTCTGTGATTCTTGTTCCGGTTCCTTCTGTGTTGCGATCGTTCCCGTTGATAGGGGTGGGGAAGAGAGGCCGGACGCGTTCTGGGTCTCGGTTTCATGCAGCGGGAGGTGTGTAGTGGGTTGGTAAGGGCGCGGGGTGGTCTGGTTCTGGTTTTGGGAGGAAGATGATGATGTAGAAGAGGAATTCGGCGTAGTCATGATTCGCTGTTCTTGGGGGAGAGATAGACGAGGGTATTTGCGACTGTGGGCTTCTAGGGCGGAGAGACGGCGATCGAGTTGGGGGTCGTGGATGTGACGCATAGCTGTTTGAAGGCGCGTGCGGAGGAGGGTTGCTTTCTTGGGGATTTGTTAGTTTCTTTGTCAATATGAATAGAGTTTTTAAGTACATACTTCTTGAATGAAGCGCTTGCGGGTTGCTGGATCTTCGGGGATGAGGGGCGTTGACGTCGTTGTTGATGTTTGGTCGGGGTGGGTATCTTCTTGTGGTTGGTGTTGTTGTGATTCTAGAAGCTGTGTGGGTGTCTCAGGCGTCGCGTGTGGCTGGATCGGCTTTTGTTAGAGTCAATGGACGATTTGACGCATTTTTGGCTGTGTGTTGTGTGGAATTGTTGTGGTACATACCTGAGGGTCCTGCTGAACGTCATGCTGCACGTTCGGAGATGCTTCTGGCCGCGACTGGGGCTGCGCGCTGGCATGGCTGATCTGGGGTTCGCTGGTGCTATCCACCTGATCGATAGAGCGTTTCTGGCCAGCAAAGAGAGGCGAAGGAAGGAGCTTCTTAGGAGAGGAGGAGGTCTCAAGGAGAGGGCGTTGTTTGAGGGGCGAGACAGAAACGTGCCGATGGTGGGCGGGTGACAGGCACGCGTTGGCGTGCTTCTCGCCGAGGACTCGCCTACCGTCTTTGACGGGGCTGGGGTGTGATGCGGACATGGTAGAGTGCATTTGAGGGTGTGATGTGCCCCGGAGAATAGGAGCTTTAGAAAAGGGTGGTGTCGTGGTGTAGGTAAAGTAAAAGAGAGAGTTGGGGGGGAGTTTAGGGTGAGAGGGTCTAGTAGAAATGGTAGTAAAGTACTAGTAGTACCAAGTCACGATGCCCACACACGCGCACACACGTCTTCCGGGGTGGAGATCACGAGCTGGTGCAATTGGGTCCGAAAGGTTAAGAGAAAGGAAGCAAGGGAGAAAACCAAGGTCACGGTCAGGGTCAGAAGACTCAATGGCAGCGAGTTGGGGAGAAAGATGGGGAAAGACGAGGCGCGTGGTCATCCGCGTCGAGGGTTCGGTGGTTCCCCTTGCGGTGAAACTAAGCAACGTCCAGCCTCATAGCGTGTCTTCCCTTCCACGCGTCGGCCGCTTTCAACATCCACTTTTACGGCGTCGTGGTTTCTCCGGGAAAGAAGAAGTGGTAACGCTCTTCATTGATCACTCGCCAATGGGTGGTTTTATTACTGGGGATATAGGTGTTGCCAGAAGCTATCTCTTACACGTGCAATCCAGGTGATTCTGTCACTCGGGTTCCACTTCATCACGATCTAGATGAGATGCAAGCAAAAGCACCCACATTCCTGAAGCTGTGCAAATGACTGGCTGCTGCACGGGGCTCCATCTTTGCTCTCCAGCAATAGCAACGGGGCTTTATTATGGCCCAGTGGTAGAACGTTTGTCTGCCTTAAATTTCACTGACATGCTGTGGTTTGACTGTTGCCCTCTAGCCTTGTACCACATGTTTTCTTGGATTTCGAAATTCCGCAAATAGTTTTTAAGCGAGGATTGGCGGAGCCATGATATACAGCCAGAGGGTTCTAGTCATTCTCATAAACATCAGTGGACCTCGTAGTCAGGGACTATGCTAGCGTTGGTCCAAACAAAGCTGTGACGCGTGCGCGGGGGAAAGCCAATGTTTGTGTTGCTGAAGATGGATACTTTAGATAGTCAGATATAATAGTATCATGAGCCCAGTAAACAACTTCAAGTAACCAAGTGATCAGTAATGCTGCGGAAAGGGAAAAGAAAACAGAAAAAGAAAGTGTCACTCATGTTCTGTTGTAGAAGCCATGCATCCAAACCTCATCGGAGACATATTTCGTGGCGGTCAGATCGGGATTAGGTATGACAGCGGCTCGACGAAACCTTTGTGTAAACCCCACCAAAAGCAGTTAATTTTAAAGATTCAGTGAGACCTCTAATATTGGGCAATATCTTTGTATAATCGTCAGAGCAGCGTGTTCGTCTCTAAGCACAACTTCAACTCAGATGTATTGATTACCGTTTGTAGTTAGTGACATACATTTGCGGGGTAGTTGGTCCAGATGAGGCTAGGCCCTTACTCTTTTGGGGCGGGGATAACCAAAGTGGGACAGAAATGCAGTACACGACAGTCGTTGATTGGTCGGTAATATGCACACTCGATTCAGCACATGTGAATAGGGCTTTCAGTGATACAAAGTATTAGTACTTACGGTTGTGCAACTCTAGTTTTCTATTATCTTATCTAATTTGAGATGGGCTGTAGTAAGTAGTCAGGTGTAAGATCATCTGTTCGTAATCTAGGGAGCTAAGGGGAGCGGGCCCTAACTCTTGACATCCATCCGGTTCATATCATTACTACTCATAACGTCTACATCTCTGCCCAAGTCAAAGAGACTAAATAGGCATTGAGAATCTTCACCTAGTAGCAGGAATAGTTAGCTACCTAGTCATGAAACAGCTCATGTTACAGTCGACATGTCCACCAAGCCATGGCTTCAGCGCATCTCCGTGTGTATTACATGTCTAATTGTGGACGAAAGTATTCGGGGTCATGTCTCCTCAAAGAGTACAATAGAGGGCTTTCACGCCTTTCAGTATGTAAAACGCTGTTCTGAGATACTGATGGATGTCCTGCAGGTATAGTAGAAAGTATTCTGACATTCGGGAATATACCTATCTTACTAACATGAAGCTACCGTATATCATCATATTGAAAGGATAGTAGAAGTGTTTGAAATATACTCCATGCCTATAAATGGAAATTTGTAAGATGTTTGTATCGACGTATGCTCTCTTTTAGTTCAAAGGCAGGTTGTAACTACTTGTACTGGCATAGAAACACTATCACAGGGTAACATAATTTTATTACAAACCTAGCCTTTCTTTCTTCTTGATCGACATTCTGAAAATGTACAAATGTGACTTGAACGGCAATATCATTGAATGAATATGACATAAAAGGCTCCTGCATACGCAAGTTACCAAGCAGTAACAACTGTGGGATCACAGTGTACCTCACCTTGAGTTGAGCTCACTTTCTCTATTATTAGCTGAGTCGCGCTCCCAGGAAAGCAAACTTCCCAGCTACCATATTGATACACTTATAGGCCAAGCGCTGGGCTACTAAGAATGCAATCACAAAGTCATCTCTGGTGCCTGGCAGATTAGCTTATCGTCCCGATGCGGGAATCCCCAGCTTTCCCCGCATTTTGGCTCTTGGAGAGTCTGTCTTTGCCATTGAGTCCCCATACGTCGTACAAATTACTACAATCGATTCATATCATCTTGAGCCATCCTCTAAGAAGCCTGATAGTGGCTCGGACAGTGCAATATTCGTTCGCTGTCCCGACCGTGTCGATCGTTGCCCTGTCATGGAATGATTGCATCATCAGGTGCTTACTGTTCAGCTGTTTACCATCCCCCGACCTCCACCTCCGCTCTTCTTCCAACTTCATCCATCAGTGCTGCTTGATGGACAGCTTCCCCCATCCTATCCATCATCGCCTGTTCTTTGTCTGATATCTTTATTCATCACCTGTCGGTTGATTGCTCTGAATCAACCACAATGCGCCCATCCCTTGCGGTGCTGGCAGCCGCCCTTCAGGCGACCGTCGGCATTGCGTCCAGCTTGACGCCGCCTGTTCTGCCTCTGATCGTGCGGAACCCCTACCTAAGCACATGGCTCGGAAATGCCAGAGATGAACCCTGGACCAAATGGCCCATGTTCTACACTGGCGAGGAGGTGGGCCTCTCTCTGATGGCTCATGTTCCGAGCACAGGCACCGTGTATCCATTGTTGGGCAAGCCTCACGAATCCCTGTCTGGGTAGGCACAGCATCATCCCATCCGCTTTCATCCCAACTGATAGACGCTGCTAGGACACAGATCGATTTCCCGACATACCTTGGAGCCAACTACGACGCGTCTACCACCAATCTGACCTACCGCATTGATCCTTCCACCTCTGCCTCCCATCCCCTGGAGATCACCGTCTCTTTCTTGTCTCCCATCACTCCTACATCGACTCTGCGGCAGTCGATTCCCGCATCATATGTCACAGTACATGTCCACGGTGAAGTAAGCGTAAATGTCTATATGGACATCAACGGAGGCTGGGTGAGCGGTGACACCCGGAGTCACATCTCTTGGCAGTATGACGCGTTCGATGCGAAAGACAACAAACCAGCTCTGCGGAGGTGGAGATTTCAGAGACAGTCGGAGCTGCTGTTCTCGGAAATCCGCGATCGTGCCGAATGGGGCACTCTTCACTTCACCGCGCCCGCCGTATGTAAACTGGAGAGTAGTGTCACTCTGCTCGTTGCTGACCCAAGCATCTAGGATGTCCAATTTCAGTCTGGCGAGGCGTCGGCCGTAAGGAAAACATTCTTGACACAAGGAGTCCTCGACAACGTCAACGATGAAGTCTTCCGTGCCATTGGAGACCGAGAGCCGGTCTTTGCATTCTCCAAGTCATTCGTCCTCAACCGGAAATCTGGGCCGACCAGCGCCAGCGTAACCTTTAGTATTGCCTTGATCCAAGATCCTGTTGTCCAATATGCCTCTGCACGTGGTTTGACTCTGATGCGGCCTCTGTGGGAGTCATGGTTCCCTAGTGTTGACGCGCTCCTGAACTTCCACTACCACGACTTCTCCCAGGCGAGTGCGTTGGCCTCCAACTACTCGGAGCAGTTAGCCAAGGATGCCTACCAGTCGGGGGCTCACGACTACGTTGACATCGTCGCACTCTCTGCTCGACAGGTCATGGGGGCAACTACCTTCTCTGGAACGCCTGAAGATCCGATCTTGTTTCTGAAAGAGATCTCATCTAATGGAAACTTCCAGACGATTGATGTCATCTTCCCTGCATTTCCGTTTTTCTTGTATACTAACCCGCGGTGGTTGGCCTACCTTCTGGAGCCGTTGATCGAGCACATGTTGAGTGGACAATACCCAAACACTTACGCCATGCATGATTTGGGAACTCATTTCCCGAATGCCACTGGGCATCCGGATGGAAACGATGAGTACATGCCGGTGGAGGAATGCGGTAACATCCTCATCATGGGTTTGGCCATCGTGAACTCGCTGCGTTATTCGGAAGATTCTGCCGCGTCTTCCATCTGGTCGACACAAGGCGAAAGCCCTGTACTTTCGGACGATCATCCCGGGTACTTTCCTCTGGTAAGCCTTCAAGCACATGGAGGTATCGATAAGCAGGATGGAAGATGGGGTGGTGGTATACAGGGCCAACGTGAGGCAGAGAGATGGCTTCAGCGCAGTTACCGTCTCTGGAAACAGTGGACTGGCTACTTGGTGGAGTTTTCGCTGGAGCCAGAGAATCAGCGTAAGGTGTTCACCTAAGAGGATCTCATGGCAATAGCTAACTCTCAAATAGTTTCGACAGATGATTTCGCCGGCTGGCTGGCGCTTCAAACGAACTTGGCGCTCAAAGGTATCGTCGGCATCAATGCCATGAGCAAGCTAGCTGAGGTGGTTGGCAATGATGAAGACGCCTCATACTACAAGGTTAGTTGTGCAGTCATACACGCAGGAAAATCTTCTCACCACCTATATAGGACATCGCAGATACCTACATCGCCAAGTGGGAGGAGTTGGGCATGTCTCGAGACCAAACACACGCGAAGCTCGCTTACGACTGGTACGGATCGTGGACGACCATCTACAATCTGTACGCCGATGCACTGCTGTGCTTCCATCTGGAGGGCAGCGATACCTCTCCACACGCAACGTCCGGCTCCAAACAGAGACCCCTCCATCCCCATCCCCCTCACCCGCACAAGACTGGCTTCGTGCCCCGCCATATATACCAGAGACAGTCTATTTGGTACCACAACGTGCGTCAAAAGTATGGCCTCCCACTTGACAGCCGGCACTTGTATACCAAGACCGACTGGGAGTTCTTCTCCATGGCCGTTGCCAGCGAGAACGTCCGCAGCGAGGTCCTGGAATCCGTCGCCAAATGGGTCAATGAGACGGTCACCGACCTTCCGTTCACCGATCTCCACAACACGGAGGGTAAGGGCGAGTTCCCCGGGCCGAATTTCTACGCTCGACCGGTGATCGGCGGCCACTTCGCGTTCCTGGCCCTTCAGCGCGCGTGTGGGGGCCGGGCGATGGAGGGGCTAGCCTATCTGGACGAGGGGAACAACGTGTTCTCGACCAGTACGCTGGCGGACTGGAAGAAGGCCGCAGCTAAAGCTGTCGAAGAGTTCCAGACGTCGTCTGAGCCAGAGGAATCTACTGGCGAAGAGTTCGGCTATGGATCTGAGAGTCTGGAACTCTGAGCGTGAAAACCTATATATAGCAATCTTTGGGTCTGATGAACAACAAGTACTTCAAGGATTAGCAAGCTTTTGACTGAATACTTTTGGTTACATAGTTTGAGAAACCGAAGAAGTTGTGAGACACTTGAATTGGAAAATAGCCTCCTTCCTAAATTACTCAGTATACAATTACTTAGTGTGGGTAAAGACCCTATCAATCTAAAGTCACACTACTACCAACCGTGCCACCCAATTACAATAGTAAGTAAATTAAATTAATTTAAGTAAAACAGAAGCTTTATAGCAACAAAGTAGATAGCCCCTACCCAGTCCAACAGTCTAGTAATTAATCCCCGAGCCTGTGGTACTGTCCTTCCATAGTATTTTAGTTATAGTATCAGATCTACCACAATATAGTACTATAATCATGCCATTCCAATCCAATGAATCCCAAGAAGACATGACTCAAGTGTAATCCACTATCTACTTAAAATACTATTTACTACTCATACATCATGATATGTGAATACTAGTAGGGTGGTCCAAGAATCACCGTTTGCTACTACCTAATCAACTATCGAAATAAATTATGTTACTGCCAAAGGTGGTGTGCCAGCAGAGCATATTGACGCTTCGAGTCAAAAGTCACTTTCCTTTCATATGACCTTGAATATGGACATGGACATGGACATGAACATTAAAAGCGCAAAACATTATTACATGGGGTGTTATTCCATCCAGATTTCCTGAGGGATAAATTTTAATGACAATGGACAAAGGGGGGACAAGTACAAAAAAGGATAAGGTGAAGAGAGAGAGAAGGAAGAAATAATTATTATTTCATCATTCCATAAGAAGAGAAGACGACTGTACGTTGAAACTTTGCATTGAGGAAAGTAAAAATATGTGGAAAAGGGGCCCATAGCCATAGATAAGATAGATAAAAGAGGCATATTGCACAGATGAACCTTTGGATTTTTTTGATCTTTTTTCTTCTGTTCCATTGCTTATGTTCGAAATTTCACCCTTTCCCTTTTTTGTCTGTTTCCCCTTTTTTGTTTTTGTCACATTTGAGATTCAGTTCATACACACATGCAAGCAGGCACACACACGCACACATAGACACTCTTTTCTTTCTCTCTCTCATGCACACACACAAAACTTTCATTTTCGTTCTCATCTCATTTGGATCCCTGGATTTCGACTACCTAAATTGCTAGCGAGAAAAAAAGGGGCGTTGGGGAGGGAGGGTTTATTGGTAGTGAGGATCATGCGTAGAAAGAAAAAGAAAAAAGATGTGAGGGGGAAGCATGGACATGCATGCATGGATGCTAGCCTATAAATGCCAGTTTATGAGGGGGAAAAAACTGCATTTATTTGCCGCCAAGGCTGGGGAAGTTCTTCTCGTCAACGGCGACAGCGGGAGTAGCAGCAGCAGCGGCAGCGGGGCGCTCGGAACGGGGACCGTTGCCACGGCCGCCACGAGCACCACGAGCACCACGGCCACCACGGCCGCCACGGGGACCAGGGCCACCAGTGCGGGGAGCCTCAACGAAGCGCATGTCGACCTCAAGGAAGTTCTTCTCCTTGCGCTGCTTCTCGCGCTTGGACTTGTCCTCCTTGCCCTTGATGTAGGCATCCTCCTCCTCGGAACGCTTGAGCTCCTTGGCGGCGGCCCACTTCTTGTCGAGCTTGGTGCCCTCGTTGGGAGCACGGACGGGCTTGGCGCTCAGGTCACCCTGGGCAGCCTTCTCGGCAAGGTAGTCGGCGTAGGACTTGGACTTGTCGGCGGCCTCCTCGGGCTTCTCCTCGCCGGGGGTCTGGGGCTCGGTCTCATCGGTCTGAGCAATGTTCTCGCCGGCCTTCTCATCGTCCCAGGTCTTCTCGCCGCTCTGGTTACCCCAGCCCTGGTTCACCTGCTTGCGGGTGTCGCTATCCAGTGATATGTCAGTTTCGATTGGGTCCCATGTCTCGTTTTTTCCCGTCTCCATGGAGAACAAGATGATGAAGAGAGGGGCTTACGTCTGGCCGGTGCGGGACTGGCGGTCGTGGCGGACACGCTCACCACGGTCCTCACGGGCGCGGAATCCGCGCCGTTGGGCGTCCTTCTCATCGGTGGGCTTCTCACGGTTGTTGTTTCTGCCGGCGTTGCGGTCACGGAAAGCTGAACGCAATCGAAATCAGTCGGAATGTACTTGCCAAAGAGTCGGAACTCAACGTAGGTGGGAATACATACCGGCCTCGTTGCCAGTGGCGCGGCCACCACGGCGAGAGTTGTTGTTGTTCTCACGGGGCTGGGAAGGGGCCTCCTTGGGAGCGTCCCGCTTGCCAACACGGGGAGCCGGCCTGTCTACGGCTTTCGTAGGGGGCTCGGGGGCTCTGTTGGGGTCGAGTTCAGGGTCATTGCCTGTAGTTGCGCAGCGCGAGCAACAGCACGCTTGAGGTTAGAAAATGATGTAATCCCTTCACGAATTCGAAGTGTAGATGGATCGACGACATGCGAAAAGAGAGACCAAGGCAAAGTCAAACACGACAGGTAGTGCAAAGTGCAGGATAGAACTCAGGTATGGTAGGTAGGTAGGTAGGTAAGGGAAGGGCGAGAATTACCAAGAAGCTCGTAGAGGTTCTGTTATAGTAGATGATATGTTAGCCTTCGCATTTCCAGATGTTTAAAGCTGCCGCTTTCTCTCTCTCTCTCGTCTCGTCTGTGGTGGTGATGGCGCGAGTGGTGAGGAGCAGGATGGATTTGTGCAATATTCCTTGCCGTCGCCCAAACCCCGCTCGTTGCAATGCAACTGCGCTCCCAACCCAATCCCAGCACCCTTCCATCAATCCAGCCGTAGAATATTCCTCCCCTCAAATCGCGGATTTCCATCACCCTCGCACAGCAACAGACGGAGAGAAAACGAGGGCCATTCTCTTTCAAAGCAACGCACCTTGGACCGGATCTCCGCCATGACGCCTGGTTTTATGCGGGGCCTTCCGGGGAAGGCTCTCTCTCTTATCGCAACAATTCGGTCCGACGGAGCGGGCGGGGAGAGTCGACACAGGCAGAAACCTCGACGACGAACGGTAGCTGACCTCTCCTTTGTTTAGGGGGATGGGGATAGGATGGTGGTTGGAGTGAAGGGGGTTGACTGGACGGTGGATGGAGGCGACGTTTGTGGTTGCACTCGCCCGATCCGGTAAGGTGCGAATTGCTGCTAAGCGAATCCGGGAATGCGGCCTGTGATTGGTCTGCAGCAGCTAGGGCTTAGGGTAAAACACCAGCGGATGACGCTGAGATGATGCTCTGCATCGCTGCCTTCAGTTGGGCTTACGCTCTACAGTATGTAGAATGGACGGTTGTTGCTTTTTCTTTCGCTCTCCCCCTACAGCATTCTGGGGGTGATCTGTAGATCACTGCCATCCCCAATTCCCATTCCCCTCTTTTGTCATACGTCACTACTCATTTCTCTCCTCTTCCTCTCTCTCTCTCTCTCTCGCCCCCAGGCCGTTTGTAAGCTTTCCCCCCAATTGCCGAGCTCCGTAGCTGGTCACCTGCCACTCCAGGTACTTCCCAAATCGAGTAGATACCTCCCCCATAGCTTTCAGAGCTCTCCCAGGAGGGAAACTATACACACTCTCTATGACAAAAGTAGCAACAAATGGAACCGGGAAGTACAGATAGAAGCTGAGAAAAAATTGAATGATTCATAAGAATGGAATAGAATGCAATGCCGCAGGGATGCAACATAACCCAGATCAGCAAGAAATACATATGCAAGCCACCGTTTCACTGCAGCCCAAATCATCACCATCACCATAGCAAGAAATAAGAACATCATATAGCTATGTCCGCAAGAGCTGAGAGTGAAGAGTGTGACCCGGTTCAAACTGCACCGCAGTCTCCCTCGGGCCCATTATACCAGTCATGCATGTACACAAAGAACCATGTCTCAACTTTTATCGCGGCCTTTCTTTTTCTTTCCCTTTTTAATCCTCTTTCCTCCGCTCATCCCGCGCTCAAAGGAACAAACAGCCGACCGCTTTTCTTTTCCAGTTTCAAAGGCGTCAATCAATCAAAAGCGCCACAGCAACAGCAGAACAGCAAGCGAACCAATATAAACAAATGGTATCAACCGCAAACGCCAGGCAATGCTTCAAAGTTTCAACTTTTGTCTTCCAGTCATAGAAGAAAGCTATGAAGGAAATCCGTCAAGCATATCTCTTCCTTCCGACCGTGATGTCCCTCGAACCGAAAGAGGGTAATCCGTGACGGGGTTGAGAGTACAAAACAAGAAACAAACGGGTTAATGGCGGGTATTATTCTGCTCGTAACTGAAAGGAGTCTGGAAATGCATGCTCGCACTCAATCCAAATGGATCGGCATCCAACATAGGTTCATAGTTCCCCATGAGGTGGTTCGCATTGTTATAGGCGCCATTGGCTCCCTCTGCCGCATGTTGGGTGTACTGGTTGAGATTATGAGCCCCCATGGGGTGAGAGCCCGCCGGCACAGACGCGGGATTGTTGTAGCCGGAGACGTAGGGCGAGGCGCCCACGGTGGAATCATGCTCCTCGTCAATCATGTCGGCCTGGGCATCATACTCCTGTTCTATGCGGACATTAACCAAGTGTTCAACACCACCACGGACCTGGAAGAAAACAGCAATGCGGGAATGGAGTCAGCTTACCCAGTTGGTCATAGTGCTTCTGGAATGGCGATGGGTAGTACGCGGAGGGGACGCGGGGAGCTCGGGGATTCGTACCACCCGGCATGGCGGCCTTTGGGTCGGTCGACTCCGGCTGGCCGATGCTCATCGGCGGCGAGGTTTGGCTGATATTTCGCGAGTGCGACAGCATCTGCGAGCGCTGCTGCGCCTGGGGATCCACCCCAACTGGCGACATCGCTCCCTGGAAGGGAAAACCCGGGGATTTGGCGTGGGACGGGGAGGAGACATGGGACGGAGGCGTGGCCTGAAATTGTGGCGACGGAATACCATACGCACCATCACGATGTTGAGCCATGCCAAAGGGCTCCTTGGGAGCGATGCCAGGATGCCGTTGAGCCGAGGTTCGGTTTACGGCAGCGCGCTCCAGGGTGGAGGGAGGCTTCGCTGCCATAGGGGTGGGCTTAGCAGCGCCCGCGCCGGGGGCCCCGGCCTTCAGTCGCAGCTCTGCTTGCACATCGATTCCTACGGTCGGTCAGTATCTCAAGTACGGGACAAGGATCGCCCCGAGGGCGCTTATCAGGAAGGGGGGCTTGCAAGCTTGCGAGTTGGGTTATGCGAGCGGGGAAGACCAACCTTTTTCGAGCAAGATACGTTCGAGCAAGGAGTTCTTGTAGCGCAGCATCAAGCATTCATCAGCGGCGCTACGATGATTCTGCTGAAGGGTCTGCAGGGAGTCTTCATTGCGCTTAATGGTGGACTCGAGCTGGCGGATGTACTCTGTGCGACGCTCACGGAAGGCAGCCTGGGCCTGGCGGTTGCGTTGCTTCCGCTCCTCCGAGGTAGCATAGATCTGACGGCGGGCGTTAGCTTCATGTCGGGGAAGGGGATGGGATCAAGGGTCCAGATAGATAACAAGATCGATAAAGGCTTGGAAGAGGGGATGGGGGATAAGGTGCAGATGGAGGAGATAAGTAAAAGGGGACAGCAAGGAATGGAGGGATGTGACAGGACGATAAGGATGAACAATCGCGATGATAAATGATAATAATAAACGCAGTGCGGGGCCCCGGACTGGCACGCAGGGACAAATCACTGGGGGAGAACCAGCGATAGGCACCAACAGCACAGCCAGTGATGATGCTGGACGAACACCAAAAGACGTGATGGATGTTGATGATAGATAGATAAAGGTAATAGAAATGAGATAAGGGAAAAACAAGCAACGACCACCACGAGGTATAAAAAGCCAAAAGGGTCGATCTGGATCCGGGGTAAAAAAACAAATTGAGGACAGCCACCCTCGAATCGAAGAATTCTTACGTACTGGTTTTCTTCCCCCTTTGCGCTTCTGAGTCTGGGTCACATCTTGCATCAGAATCTCCCCCTCGGCCTCAGGTGTTGACACCGCCGAGCTGATCGAGCCTTCAGGCAACGGCTCGGTCTTGGGGACAACCGGCTCGGTGGCCGGGTTGTCATTTTGTGTGGAATTGCTCGTCTCAACCATGGAGACCATTGGATTTGGCTATGTATGGAGGAAAGGGGGGATGGGGATTTAGCCTTGTTCTTTTCTTTGTTTGCTGGCCGTCTTGTTGCCTGTCCGGGTTGCCCAAAGACAGGTCGGTTATGGGAATCCCCCCTTGCGTGCTCGGTAGATGGAGAATGACGCACCCAACAAGAAATCCGGGGGCGTGGGATATTATAAAATTAGCAAGGAAAAGAAAAAGGGAACCAAAAAAAAACAGAAAAGGGAAAAGGCAGATGACGACGGCCGGGATCGAATATCAAAAGCCTCTTCTTTCCTCTCTGTCGTCTTTCTCGCTCTCCCAAAAGACCGGGCTAACAAAACAGCGGACTTAATTTCCCCCTCACGCAAAATAGACGCGGTGAACGATCGCAAAAGACAAATGGTAATAGGAATACAACAACAGGTAAAAAAGTTAGCCGGCGGGGTATGGAATCTGATAATTCAGACGCAGGAAACGCGCGGCTGGGCGGCAGAAAGGGACGTGCGAGGGCTGGCAGAGGGTCGCAAGGAGGCCAGCGGAAGAGGTGACATAAAGGAAATTGATGATGGAATACCCAGATAGCCAGCAGGTTCGGGGGGGAAGTAGGAGAGAAGCGCGAAGGACAGTGAGAGGGGATGGGTGGGAAGGTGAGAGTGGGAAAGATGTGAGGTAAAATTATTTACTAAAAAGAACGGGGATGTTATTAAAGGGAAAGAAAAGGTCGAATAAGGGCCTTCTTCTCTTGGTCCAAGCCTGGTGGGTTGGAAAATTCGAGCAAAGAGTGGGCAAAATAATATTTAATGGGGACAGCAGAAGGGGAAAAAAAAAATTTATTATTTTATTTTTCTTTTGGCTTCTCTTCGAACTTTCCTTTTGGGTCCAAGGCAGAGACTTTCCCAGGGGAAAAATCCAGCCCATCAACCCCATCCATCCACTCCATCCACTCACGCGAGACGGTGCAAAGAGAGTGAGAGGGGAAAATGGACCGAACGGAACGAGCTTCGGTTTCGCCGCCGCTGGACAAACTCTTTTTGACTTTTGCACTACTTTTTGACGCCTCGTCTGGTCTTTACTTTTTTTGCTTTTAAAACAACTGATGCTCTCTTACCCGTCCGGTTTCTGTTTCTTCGAATAGTTCTAGTAGTTCTACGCATTCTTCCTTGCCCCTGCTTTAGTTTTGTCGTTCTAACATCATAAGAGCCACTCTCCCCTCATTGCCCAGTAACAAATCCCCCTCTCTCCCTCCCCTCCCCTCTCTCCCACCCTCTCTCTTTGTCTTTCTGTCCACTCAGGTCCTCGATGCAATTATTCCCTCCTTGCTAGAAGCGGTTTTCCTCGGCCGCGGCACCAACTTGAGCGAGATCCACTGCAAGGTCAGACCCAGCCGAAGATCCGCCCAGGGTGAGTCGTCAAACTCGTCACTGCCTCCGTGGTCCAAGTTACTACTTATACCCTATTCGAATGGGCTTACTCCTCTGGTGCTGCTGCTGCTGGTGGCCCGTCCGCCAGGCCATGCAGGCTCCGAAACGGAGTGGAGAGCAGGAGAACGTGTCGTTGTCCTTTTTCCATTCCTTTCCGCTTCTCTCGGAAGTGGCTACTGGGGTGGATGCGAGCAACCTTGAAAGCAATGCCATTGTTAAGTCGGTTCCAGCTAGCTCAGTCTGGACCAGAACCGTGTAGTATTTATCCAGGCGATAAAGTAGAAGCCTCCCTTTTCTCCTATCGACAAGTCATGAGGAGGTTTTCCTTCCCCTTTCTGGTGGGCACGTCGTTAATATCTTCATCGTGCCGCGGAGATGTTCCGGCAGGTCAAGACAAAGTTTTCCGTGGTTCAGCTGGGGCGGATTCCTTGTCCTGCTGTCGTACGAACTTGGGGGTCTTGCGTGGACACACACCAGGTTCCCCTTCTATCCTGTTACTCCTCTGTCTACTGAAGGCGGTGGGTTTATGATTGATTGATTGAACCTCGGTCCAAGTACCGTGGCAGGAAGTAATCCGACAGTCGAGAAATCTGGTCTAACTCCACGAGAGAGGTCGTACGAAATGCCCGGGACCCTTGAAGGAGAAAGAAACGACGAGGAAAATCACGCAGATCCAACTGGACCATACCCAAACGGGACAAGGTGAATACGGCAAAGTTTCGTCCCTGACCCCGTGACCAGTGGCCATTTGGGGTCATAATACGGCATGATGACCATACGGTACCACAAATCCATCTCGACTAAATTGCCTTTCTCATCCACCCAGAATTCCCTCTCAGGGTCTAAAGTCTTGCTGAATACATAAAGAGATAGTAGGCTGGTCTGATCGGATCCCGAGGATATCCAGTTGGATGACAGTCCTTGGCATGTCTGCTTTCAAGACAGTCAAGACTAGAAGATACCAGCTATTTTCAGCGTATACAAATGAGCACCTGATCGAACAGCCGAACTTCCGGTTTTCTTTCCCCCTCAACTCAAACCACCAACCAACCCGGGATGTACCTGCAGGACAACCAGACTAGACAGAAGACACTATGACTTACTCGGTATATACTAACGTAATCAACGGTCGGACGGGCCACACGGTCAGGCGGGCCATCTGGTAATACTATACAAAAGATATCTTTTTAAACATAATATATCTCTACCATCCAGGTCTAGAAGAATTAGATTTCTTCTATATAGATTTTAAATAATATAAATAATATCTATATACCTTCTAAAAATGAATATACTTTTACTTATGGACTTATCATATTACAATATCTGTATTTATATGTATTATATAAGAATCTGGTTTCATTATCAAAGTAAAAATTCTAAAAATCTGAAAAATTCATGGAATACTTATTCTTATATATATAAACTATCTACAAAGTTAGAGCTTCATAGAAGTAGTACTGGTTGATATATAATAGAATCAAAAAGACATCTTTTATATGGGATTTCAGGATGGCCCGCCTGACCGTGTGGCCCGTTCGACCGTTGATTACGTTAGTAGTTGGTACTTGGGATATACACAGTACAGTACTATAGGAGACTGCCGATGAAGGAGGTCTCCGCCAGCCAACCACCTCCAGGGCCTCGCCTATGTCCCGTCATCCTACGTCGCTCCGAGACTCCGCCTCAGGAAGGAAAAAAAATAAAAAAGGCAAAGTGACTGTGACTTGACATCACGAGGATCCGCCACGGGATCATCTGAGGATGATGGGCTGATCGGATGGAATCCAATGCCTGTTGCTGTTGCAGTTGCTGGGTGGACTTGCGGCGACTACCGATGAGCAGCAGCAACTATTGACCAGATCCTTCTTGGCAGAGTTGGATTTGTTGTCGTCGCTGCTGCTGCTGCTGCTGTGCTGGAGGATGAATACATCAATATGTAGAGAGCGTACTTCTGTACTCCGTAGAATAGGATGTATCTCAATCGGAGTATCCGAATCCAGACTGAGAGTTCGAACATGTTTATTTCTCCATCAGATCTGCCGGTGACAGCGCCTGGACCCTGATGTCATTCCCAGCTCTTCTCTAACCAACCAATACTCACTCCTCACCACTCGACTCTCTCTATACTCTTCTCTTTCAACTCTACCCCTGTCCACCTTCACAGACATTCAATGCTATTCCAAATGTCAAACCAATCCCCCCAAAGAGTCATTGGAATCAGTCCCATCCCCCATTTACCATCCCCTGAGCGCAACTCCGAGAAAACAAAACAAAAGAATAACCGCGGCGATCGGCTTTCCATCGGCTCTCCCCCACCACCAAAAAGATGGACTGACTGATTATTCATTCCTGCTCATTTCTTTTTCACATGAAGACCAAAAAAAAAAAAAAAAAAAAAACACCATCCCCGACTAGACTACATCCTCAGCTCTCCATCGTCAACCCCCATCTGATCTAATTCCACCTGTCAGACCTTTTTCCCCCTGCATCTTTGAAAAAAAGAACAGCACAGGATCTCATCTGCGCGCCGATGCAATCCGTCTCCGCCCGCCGCCATCCAGCAACTTGAGCCCGC